TGGGCTCCTGAGGCCCTCTCGAGGGCCCTCTGGAGGGCCTATGGAGCCGTCTCGAGGCTCTCTTGGACCGTCTGAAAGCCATCTGAGGCTCTCTCGGGGCCGTCTTTGGATCGTTTTGGTGCCCTCTTGGGCCGCCTTGGGGCCCTCTTGCCGCTTCACTCGAAAAAATATACAGAAACGGGCAATGGAAGCGCTCGCGAGCCGGTTCACTCGAACAATACAAGGTCCTGGCGGCCATTAAGCGTATGCGTGCCCCCTCCCCATGGAACCCGTCCCTAGAGGGCTTCGCCCCACACAAGAACGTCATCACTCGTACCTCTTTCGTTACCTGGGCCAGCACGGAAACGGAAAGAGCGCTGCAGGAACGTGTCCGAGATGGCGCATGGCACTTTTCGCTCTTGGGAGCCTTGGCATTATAAGCTTGTTGCGTCGCCGCTCTCTGTTGGGAGCCCTGGTGTCCACAGACTTTTACGTTGCCGCTCGCTCTTGGGAGACTTGCTGTTAAGAGTTTTTTCGTCACCGCGCTCTTGGGAGCCTTGGTGTTCAGAGCTCGTTACCGCTCCCTGTTGGGAACCATGATGTCACTTGGCGTCTCTGGGGCTTCTTGGGAGTCTTTTGAGAGCCCTTTTCGGCCGCTTTGGGGCTCTTGGGCCGTCTTGGGGCCAGCCCAGTTCCCACACCCAAGCAGCTCAATCCCCATACCGCCTCTTCGGGCCCTCTTGGGAGCCTCTTGGGGCCCTCTTGGGGCTCTCTTGGGACCGTCCTGTGGCCCTCTTGGGCCGTCTTGGGGCCCTCTTGGGCCGTGTGGGGGGCCCTTTTGGACCGTTGTCGGCCCCTTTGGGAGGCCTCTGGGGCCGTCTTGGGACGATCTTTGGGGCCTCTTGGGCCGTCTCGGGCCCGTCTGGGGGCCCTCTTGGATCGTTTTCGGCTCCTTTGGGCCGCCTCTGGGGCCGTCTTGAGATGATATTTGGGGCCTCTTGGACCGTCGTGGGCCCTTCTGGGCCCGAAGAAAGAACCCGAACATCGTCAACAAACAAAAGAACATCAACGTTTTTGGCCTCCTGAGGCCCTCTCGGGGGCCCTCTGGAGCCATCTTGAGGCTCTCTTGGACCGCCTGGAGTCTGGAGGCCATCTGAAACTCTCTTGGGGCAGTCCTGGGGCCCTCCGGGGCTGTTTAGGGACCCTCTTGGGCCGTCCTGGGGCCCTCTTGCCAATTCACTCGAAAACATAAGCGGAAACATGCCATGGGAGCCGCTCGGGAGCCGCTTCATTCGAAACAACACGAAAAAAACTGCCCCCGGGCGGCCATTAACACTCATGCGTCTGGTCCCCGCCCCTCCCTTGGAACCCCTCCCTAGAGGGCTTCGCCCCACACAAGAACGTCATCACTCGTACCTCGCTCTTTCCGTTACCTGCTTGGCATAGGGACGGAAAGCGCGTTGAGATCGCTGGCTTAAGGTTTCCGTGCGACATAAACAAATCTAGCAACCAACCTTGCGAAAATCAATGAATGTTGCATTTCTGGGCCTTCCTGGGGATCCTTTTGGGGCCCTTGGGGATCTCCTATGGCCCTCTTGGGGCTCTCTTGGTAACCTTCTGGGACCCTGAAGGGCCTCTCGTGGCCCGTTTTGGGGCTCTCTTGGGCCGTCTTGGGTTGCCTCCTGGGCCGTTCTGGACATTTTGAAAACCAAAAAAACGAGTATGCTAAAAATGCACGTTTCCCGAACTCGCCATCGCTCGAACGTCCATTTCCTGTGCATTTTTCGGTTTCGTGCGTGTTTTTGTTGCTCGATGGTCCAGGATCGTCCTCAGTGGTTCTCGCCGAGAAAAACATGCACACGTCCGAGCGATGCCAGGCGAAGGGAAAGGGACGATTTGTGCCTCTCCTTTGGGGGCCTCCTGGGGGGCCCTTGGGCTGCCTTGAGGATACCCTGGGGGCCCACTTGGAGCGCTCTTGGGCCGTCGTCGGGCCCTCTTTTGGAACTCTCCGACGCCGTCGTGGGCGCTTTGGGGGAGCTGCCATGGGCCGTCTTGGGGGCCTCTTAGGCGCCTTCTCGGGGCTGACTTGGGCCGTCTTGGGCCGAGCATTGCCGAAGTTAGAACCGTTCGATCTGATCCTCTGGCTGCCTACCCCCCACCCCACCTCTTGCTATTTCTCCCAGCTAAGAAATCGCGACGCTACGCGCGCTTTCCATCATCCGCCAGCCCCTTGTTGGCTTGCCACAGGGGTGCTGGGCGTGGTGAGGTTCAGGATGTTGTTTTGGTCCTTTGAGAAACTCCCCCTGGGGCGTCGGCACAGCGTGCCAGAGTGCGTCTCGTCGGATTGCCGCTCAAGATGGCCCCAAGATGGCTTCCTTGACGGCCAAGATGCCTCCAAGACGGCCAAGACAAGATGACCCGAATATGACCCAAAAGGCCTCCAAGAGGTCCTCCAGGAAGGCCCGAAGATGCCAAATCCCACCAGCCCTTTGGGCGTGAGTGGTTTAGAGAGCCCGCTCTGTCCTCAACCCCCCTTCTTCCCCTTCGGGGAGGGGTTTACCCCTCCCCCTACCCCCTCCCCCTGGGCCTGGACAGGGAGCCCCGAGTGTTCTCAGGGGGGGTCTTTTTCGACTCCTGGGAGGGCCAAAAAACGACGACCCTCACTAGGATTCTGGCCCCGACGGGGGGGCCGAGTTTGGCCCCTCTGCTCTTCTTCGAAGCCAAAATCATTGATTTTACTACGGTTTTGGCCCCATTTTGGCCTCCTGAGGGGGCCGCGCTTCTCTTCCTCCATAGCGTAATCATTGATTTTACGAAGGTTTTGGCTTCAGTTTGTCCTTCTCAGGGGGCAGCGCTCCTTCGCGCTTCAGAGGAGGTCGCAAGAGGCCCCCAAGATGGCCCCAAGAGGCCCCCCGGAGCCTCCAAAGAGGCATCCAAAAGGCCCCCAAGAGGCCCCCAAGAGGCTCCAAGAGGCCCCCAAGAGGCCCCCAAGAGGCTCCCAAGAGGCCCCCAGAGGCCCCACGAGGCCCCCAAGAGGCCCCCAAGAGGCCCCCAAGAGGCCCCCAAGAGGCCCCAAGAGGCTCCAAGAGGCCCCCGAGAGGCCCCACGAGGAGCCCGAACGACTCACACCAGGACGAGGGGCCCGAACGACTCACACCACGAAGAGCCCGAACGACTCACACCACAAGGAGGGGCCCGAACGACTCACACCAGGACGAGGCGCCCGAACGACTCACACCACGAGGAGCCCGAACGACTCACACCACGACGCGGGCCCCGAACGACTCACACCACGAGGAGCCCGAACGAGTCACACCAGGAGGAGGGGCCCGAACGACTCACACCAGGATGAGGGGCCCGAACAACTCACACCACGAGAAGCCCGAACGACTCACACCAGGACGAAGAGCCCGAACGACTCACACCACGAAGAGCCCGAACGACTCACACCAGGAAGAAGGGCCCGAACGACTCACACCAGGACGAGAAACCCCAAACGACTCAAATCACGAGGAGCGCTTTCTCTCCCTCCTCCTCCGCCTCGTCCTTCTCCCGCTCCCCCCACAAGGAGGATGTACAAGGAGGCGGGAGGAAGGAGGAACAGGGGAGATATGCGGGGCCAAGCGGACACACGCCTGAAAAACACGACTGTCGGCATGCTTCGCAAGAGTTGCTGCTGTGAGATGGGCTGGTGGGGATACGCGAAGCGTAAAGAATTCATTGATGTCCCAAGGTTTTCGAACAATGTTGGCATTTGCATCTTTTCGGTCTTCCAATGGCCCAAGACGGCCCAAGAGGCCCCCGAGATTGGCCCACGATCGCCCAAGAGGCCTCTAAGATGTCCCCAGGACGACCCAAGTGGCTCCCAAGACGGCCTCCAAAGGGCCCCAAGACGACCCAAGAGGCTTCAAAGGCACCAAAGATGGTCTCCAAAACGAGCCTGAAATGCCCCAAGAGGGCCCCAAGACGGCCAAGAGAGGCTCCCAAAACGGCTTCCAAAGTCGTCAGACGGGCCAGGAACGCCGTAAGACAGCCACAGAGGCCCAGAACAACCCCTCAAAGGCTTTCAAAATGGTCAAGGAGGCTCCGAAAAAAGCCTCCAAGAGGCCGGCAGGAAGATCCCAGGAGGCCCCAATAATGAATGACCCAAGAAGTTCCCAACAGGTCTCCTCATCCTTCTCCTCATCCTCCTGTTTCATCCCTCTGCTCTTCCTCCTCTTCCTCCCCCACGTGCTCCCCCAGAGGGCTCCCGCAACGGCTGGGGGAACGCATGGTCCAATAGTTTGGCCAAACATGGTGCACAACAGAAGTCTGGCCACATAAATGCGTCGTTAAAGGAAGCTGGGGGCGGCGGTGATTCGCCGTACAGTGGGGGCTCGGCCACAAGAAACCTCCGCAAGAAACCCAACCCTGAAATCCGCGATTCGTTCGGTGAAAATCCACATGTGTCGATTCGATCGAAAATCGTCAAGATCTGATTGGGAGCCCATCGAAATCCAAGAAACCCAGGGCTCCCTGGCAAAATCCAACTGGTTTCTTGGCACGCGCCCCCACTGTAGGCGTTTCCAACAATGAGAACCGGAGGAGGCCAATTGAGACAGCGGCGGCTCTCCAGCCTGGCTCATAGCCTCTCAAAATCCGTCCCCGGACCCCCCCCCAGGCTCCACTCCGAACCTCGCGAGGCACAGCGCCAGGGGCGGGCCGCAGTTGTCTCGACTGGCCCTCCTCCTCCTCCTCCTCCTCCTCCTCCTCCTCCTCGTCCTCCTCCTCGTCCTCGTCCTCGTCCTCGTCGTCTTCTTCCTGCTCCTCCTCCTCCTCCTCCTCCTCCTCCTCCTCCTCCTCCTCCTGCTCGTGCTCGTGCTCGTGCTCGTGCTCGTGCTCGTGCTCGTGCTCGTGCTCGTGCTCGTGCTCGTGCTCGTGCTCGTGCTCCTCCTCCTCCTCCTCCTCCTCCTCCTCCTCCTCCTCCTCCTCCTCCCCCCACCTCGTCCCCCATGCCCCGCTCCGCCGCCCCGCCGCGCCGCCTCGCACGCCAGCCCTGCGTGCAGCACCCACATGCCTCGTGGGGTGCTGGACGGGTCGCCGTCGTCGTCCTCCTCCTCCTCCTGCTCTCAGCTGACCGCTGCCTTGGCGAGGGCCCCCCGCGGGAACCCTCAAAATCCACGCTCCACCACGGTCATGCTACCTGGGACGCAGGAGATGGCCCTACAATCCATGTGGGTCCGATCATCAAGTAACTGAAAAGCCGAATCCTCCCAGCGAAGAGAACTCTTCCCCGCCATGACGTCGTATGTAACCTGGGCCCAATAATCTCCACGGACATCACACAGCGGAGCCACAAGCGTCGAACTGGCTTGGAGGGGGCCCTGGGCGGAACTGTCTCGCTCTAACAACTGGACGGCGCTCCTGCGGAATGATGTGGTCTGGGCACCGTTCACCGCTCTGTTGTACTTGATTGCGGTGACGAATCTTTTGCGTAAATTTGCTAACGTTGCGGAGGGTGGGCCTCTGGGGGTCGTTTAGCTAAGCTGGCTAGCTGGCTCATACCCGCACGACTCTCATTGAGCTTCTCAAAAGTGAAAGTTGGAGGCAACTAGGCAAAGGACTCCATCCGAGGAGACCGGGGATCAGCCGACCTGGCAACTTGCTGCCCCATCTAAGGGGGGTCATGGGTTATGGATGACTAACTACACCAGGATGGACACCTTTCTGGACCGAGGAAAACTGGAACGGTGAGCAGCACATGCCCCTGCCACACTTTCTGAACCGAGGACAGCTGGAATGGTGAGAACCCTATGGCCTTGCAGTACTTTCTGGTCCTAGGACAAGTGGAGCGATGATAATCCCGTGCCCCTACCAGACTTTCTGGACCTATGGCAGCTGGAACCGAGAGAAGCCTATGGCCCTGCCACACTTTCTGGACCTAGGACAGCTGGAATGGTGAGAACCCAATGCCGGTGCAACACTCTCAAGACCTGCGACGGTCTTAAATCGAGCCAAGGTATTATAGAGTCTGCGAGGATTGAAATGGAGCCATAACAGGACAAGTGGAATGATGAGAATCCGATGCCCGTGCCTGCGACGGCATAAGCCGAGCCGAGCAAGATCGTGAGCCTCGTTTCCGGATCTGCGAGGGCCGAAATCGTGCCACGACGGTCAGCCCCCCGTGGAGATTTATCTGGCGAGTAGAGTGTTTGAGGTGAGGCCGAGCTAGAACACCATACAGGGCAGGTTTTAATAATAGGATGTTTAATACGTAGGGGATTTAATACATGATTAGTATAGGACTAAATTAATGCATAAAATCATCCTTGTATTTACGAATGAACCCTGCATTGTTTTTAATACATGGCCCGCACGCGGAGCATGCACTAAAACCGGCGCTGTAGTGAGTCACATGTATGAGCCTGGACCTCGTGCGCTGCATACTGCGTCGGTGGCTCCTGGTCCGAGCGGGCGAGATCTTGTCCTACCGCAGCCGAGAGGCATTCCATGATCCCTGTACAGTCGTGACCTAAGGAACCCAACATAAGGAACGAGGCCCCTGTTTTCCATAAGTTAAGCTTCGACTTCCGATCGAAAACATAAGGAACACCCGAGGCAAGCTGCAAAACACTTAAGGAACGCGGAGCCCCTCCCTAACGAAAAGGGTTCCTTCTTCAGAGCCCCGACTGTAATCTGCCTCATTCGCCTGACAAGGGCGGTTGGAATGTCCCTCTCCAGCCCGCTCTCGTCTCCTGGCTGAGCAGATCTTCCCCGACGGGTGCCATTAATCAACGGCTGGTCGCTTTCAATCTCTGGCGAATGCGGTGGTGCCGAACGACGCTTCTTGGCAGCAGTCGCGAGCCCTTCAATACCGTCATCTTCCTTCATGACAAATCTCGCTCGAATCGCTACCTCTTGTGCCGTGGACAACGGTGGGCTGACCGAAGCGTATTAGATCGGGAAACGCACTCGGCGGGGCGTCTGCGGTAGTCTCTTGATGGCTCTCTGCTGTTCCTATTAACGGGATCCGATCACTCCGAAAATCAAAGTCATCGCTCGCAGGTAAATTGACAACGCTGGCCCAAAACCTGCGGGTCTGTTTTTGCGTCATCATCTATTCTCAGGTCGGGCGGGTATCCAGATATCCGAATTTATCGCGAATTGCGATTTCATTACGGTCCCCTTTTTCGTCTTCGTCTTGGATCTCTTCTGTGACGTACGGACAAAGAACGTCAGTCCAAGCCTGACCTCCTTCTGGGATGTCTGTCCCATATGCGGCAACGTACGCCCCCAGAATTGCCCATTCATCCCTCGGCAACACTATCGCATGATCAGCTGCTTGCTCTTGGAGCGGCTTCGTCTGTCCTGCTGCGTATTATCTGGCGTTCCCAGCACTGGTCGGACAATCGACGAGGCCCGCGGCGTCTGATCGTCGTGCCGCGCGGACCCTCGTTGGCTCCCTGAATTCCATTCTGAATCACAGCTTGCCTCTCCGGTAGCAGAAATCGTATGCTGCTCACCGGCCGCCGCCTCCCGGAGAAACATGCTCGCGGGGTCGGTACGACTGTGATCTGGCAGTGCGCTCCCCCTGCCAGCTGCGCTGCGGTTGCGTTAGAGGCTGTCTCTCGATCAACGCAAAGGGACATCGACCTGCTCCTTCTCGGCTGATCGTGCGCTCTGGGTCAAATGACCAATATCGGGGAGACGTAAGACCCGGGTACGGGGGACTTCGAAATCCCCGACGAGGTCGTCAAAAAAATGACGAGGCCGAGCCTGCATTTTGACGAGGCCTCCCGCTGCAGACATCCCACAAAACTCCTCGTCAAAATCCGAGTCGCGGTCGTCAAAAAACGATGGCGAACCCGAATCCTGGCAAACCCGGGTCTTACGCTCCCCCGACAATATAGCTTGCAAGAGGAACTGGACGACGAGCGAGCGACGGGCGCGCGATGTCGGTCCAGCGGGACCGGCCCTACGAGGGCAGCGCAGGGGGGCCGGGGCCCTCAGAAGACGTGTTGTTGCGAGCAGAAATCGGAGAGCTGGATGTTGGAGACTCTTTGAGGGAGAAGAAGGAAGTCCTCCATGTAGTCGAGAAAGCCGTCCTCAAGACTTTTCCCACATTTGCATCAGGAACTGGACACATGTGATGTATAGCTGTCCCAAATAGTCTCCGAACTCCATCGACCCCCTTCACGGAAGCCTTCGGGATGCTCCTCAGCGCTGACGGATGACAGGGCGGCGCGCGCCGCTCTGTTGTACCACCTGGGATGCACCCGCTGCGCTCCGCAGAGTAACCTGGCGCCGATCGCGCGGACACGCGCGCGCACGCCAGGCGAAAGAACGCATGAGGGAGTGAACGTAAGTGAAGGGGCCCCAGGACACACAAATAAATGCACACAAATAAAAAGATCCCCCATATTTTCCCATACTTTCTGGGTTTCTGTCTTCCCCCCCACTGCCCATATTTTTCCATATTTTCCTGGGAATCGACGATTAATTGTGTCTGTGTGTTTCTTTCCCTCCTGAACGTAAGCTACTCGTCCATTCCCATGAACGCCGATGCTTTCAGCGTCCCCGGGGGAAGGCGGGGGGGCGGGGAGGGACGCGGGAGAGGAGGGAGCGAGGGAGCGCGAGGAGGGGCAAAGTGGAACAGAAAGGGGGAACGCAAGAGCGAAAGGGGGGGGCAGTCGGCAGAACGGGCGACATGTCAGAACAAAAGAGATTGGGGATTGGGGGCACGCTGGGCACGCGTTGGCCGCGCGGGTACCTCTGATCTCGCCGGACGCGGAATAGACTGGCACGTGCGTCTCGGAATACCTGGATGGGGCGTGCGACGGGCGGTGCGAGGCGGGGGCATCTCGCATGTATCCACCGCCTGTGGGAACCGGCGTCCTGGGGCCACAGCCGGTGGTGGATACGGATAGGCTTCGGCACCAGGGTTCTCGAAGATGTCCATGTTGGCGGCGCGCAGAGGGGGGAAGGGGGAGGGGGGAAGTCTTCTTGGAAGGGGGCTGCCTCTTAGAAGGCGCCGGCCTTACTTGTATAGAGAATGCCCGCGCCTTCTACGAAGCAGAGGTGTTTCTAAGAAGCCTTCCCCCCTACCCCTACCCCTCTACTGTTCCCACCGTACTTAAGGACCACATCCCGAACATAGTTTCGAGCACCCAGAAAAGTGTCGAAACAATGTCGAAAGAGTATCGCACCTTGCACGTGCACACCCTCCAATGCCGGTTTTTTCTTGGTGCTCGAACTTGTTTCTGGTGGTCAAGGCTAGCATAGAATGGAACACCACAACCCCCCCTCTGCGCGTGGCCGACCGTGTCCTCCACCTGCCGATGCCACCGAAGACCGAATCCCCACCGGGCGGGTGGTGCTGCAGAACTCCCGCCTCGAAGGCAAGGGGACGACACGCACACTGCTTTTGCACGTCGCGCGCGGGCTTCTTGGCTCGGCACGGGTCACAGTCGGCGGCGAGCGAGGGGGGGAAGCGAGAGAAGGACGAGGCCTTCTCAGAAGGTTCGGAAGTCCCCCGCCCTTCTGAAAAGCTCTCCAGAACTCCTCAGAAGGCGCGACGGCTTCTGAGAAGCCCCGCCGCCTTCTGAGCAGGCCTTCTCCTTCTCACCTCCTCAGCTCGCTCGCCGCCGACTGGCGGAAGCGTGTCCTGGATCCTGGGGCGTTCCCTGGTAGCAGCTGGTGAATGAGGGGGCTTGGGAGACACACAAGTAAATCCGCCGATCCGGCGTGTGAGTTACAAGGAGTCTCAGCTACAGCCTCGAGGCTGAGCCTCAGCCTCCGGGGGGGTTGCCGGGGTGGCTCTGCCGGGGAAGGGGGGGTGGGGGGGGGGTGGGGGGGGGTGCGAGTTTCCGGCGGATGCGTTTTTTGACACCCCTCACAAGGATCGTGGCCTCCGAGGGGGTTCCGAACTCGAGTGCCACCCCTCCCGCACCAAGAGGCTCCGAAGAAGCCTCCAAGAGGCCCCAAGGGGCCCAGAAGAGGCCCCCAAGAAGCCCCAAGAGACTCCCAAGAGACCCAAGAGGCCCCCAAGTGGCCCCAAGAGGCCCAAGAGGCCCCCAAGAAGCCCCAAGAGGCCTCCAAGAGGCCCCCGGAGGTCCCGGCCAACCACGATATCCCAACCAGCGTCCATGAGGCCTCTGACCCACCACCCACGCACGGTGGTGGGATAGGCCGAAGGCCACTGGATAAATGCGGAATGAAAGGGGGAAGGAAGGGAAAAGAGAGGGGGGACGAGGGCGAAGGAGGATCACATCAGTCGGAGCGCCCCGGATCGGCGGCACTGGCCGAAGGCCACTACAATACACACAGATAGCAGAATTCCCAATATATGTTTTCCCCGATTCTCTGGGTTCTTGCCTCTCCCCCCCACTTCCCATATTTTCCAATATTTTCTTGGGGGCATCGACGATGCATTGTGTCTATGTCGTTTGTTTCCCTCCTGAGCTACCCCGAGTCCCTGGGACACACAAATCAATACACACACAAATAGCAGGACTCCCAATCTTTCCCCCCATCTTCTGGGCTCTTGTCTTCCCCCCCACACACTTCCCATATGTTCCAATATTTTCTTGGAGGCATCGACGATGCACTGTGTCTGACTACCTACCAGACCACCCCAACCCAACCCGAAGACCCGAATTTCGGGTTGGGGGGGGTACGGGTTCCACACGTGTTTTTTCGATGTTTCCCGACCCCCCCCAACTGGAAATCGAGGGTAAATCTGAGCCTTCGGGTTGGGTTGGGGTGGTTTGGTGGGTGGTGAGTGTCTATGTCTTTTGTCCCCCTCCTGAGCTACCCCGAGCCGCCCCGCCACGGCCCCGCGGCCCGATCTGACCCCCGCGGGCCTCGTGCCCTCTCCTTGCAGACCTGCCGAGGAGGAGGGTCGGCCATGGCGACGGGCAGCCTACCAGAGCAAAGGGGCCCAGGGAATGCATACACACAAAACCCCAGGGGTTCCCCACAGTTTCCTATACTTTCTGTGTTTTTGTCTTCCTGTCTTCCCCCTCAAATCAAGGACAGACAAATGCATACAGACATCTCCAGAGCAAAGGGGCCCAGGGACACACGAATGCATACACACAAATCCCAAGGGCTCCCCACAGTTCCCTATATTTTCTGTGTTTGTGTCTTCCCCCTCAAAGAGAGTCCAGCCATGGCGACGAGCAGCCTACCAGAGCAAAGGGGGGCCCAATCAATCAGTAACGCCGTGTCTGCGCGACACGTCGGCTGAAGAAGTGCCGCCGGCTGGAGGCACATGTCCAGACCAGGTCACACAATAATCAAGGACAGACAAATGCATACAGACATCTCCAGAGGAAAGGGGCCCAGGGACACACGAATGCACACACACACAAATCCCAAGGGCTCCCTACAGTTCCCTATGTTTTCTGTGTGTTGTGTCTTCCCCCTCAAAGAGAGTCCAGCCATGGCGACGAGCAGCCTATCAGAGCAAAGGGGGGCCCAATCAATCAGTAACGCCGTGTCTGCACGACACGTCGGCTGAAGAAGCGCCGCCGGCTGGAGGCGCATGTCCAGACCAGGGCGCAAAAATCAAGGACAGACAAATGCACGCAGACATCTCCAGAGCAAAGGGGCCCAGGGACACACGAATGCATACACAAATCCCAAGAGCTCCCTACAGTTTCCTATATTTTCTGTGTTTGTGTCTTCCCCCTCAAAGAGAGTCCAGCCATGGCGACGAGCAGCCTACCAGAGCAAAGGGGGGCCCAATCAATCAGTAACGCCGTGTCTGCACGACGCATTGGCTGAAGAAGTGCCGCCGGCTGGAGGCGCATGTTCAGACCAGGGCACGCAATAATTAAGGACAGACAAGTGCACACATACATTTTTTTTCACGCTCTAACGACATCCTGAGACACTGGGCTACAACTGATGACGCTCCAAGTGCACATTTGCACACCTTGCTGTCTCGAAGACTTGAAATTGCCAGCGTGACTTCAGCTCTGGAGGATTCCTGCTGTAAGATGCATCCTACAATGAATTCGATCTCATCGCTGGTGCCAGCGTAAAGACCTGCATGGTGGACGATACTGTAAACGAGCGCCACCGTATTATGTCTTCTGCAGCGTCTTACACGTACTGTCAACTGTCATTACAATAGTGCAGACGAAGCGCATGTTTACACGTCGAGTCGATTGGGCTCGTCGCACGGCAAAGCCGGAGGAAAAAGCACGATAGGGTGTGGATGCTGAGCAGAAAATTCAAACTTTCGCGTCATTTCTAGGTGGCGCAACTGCTTGTTGGTCGCTAGCCTTCACGGCGGCAATGCATATTACCCCCACTGCTGTAAGGAGGCTGCAAGCCCAAAGCCACACTGCGAAAGACAGTTCCAGCTCAGGCTGCTCTCCCTGCAGAGGCGTTCCATCGATCATCCGCATTTGGCACAGCGCCCACCACGCCGATACGGATCCAACAATCGCTGCGACGCCAAAACCGATGTTGACCATTCCAAAGGCCACCCCGGAACTGGCCGCGCCCCAAAGGTGCATGCACCAGACTTGCATCAATACCTTGCTACCTGCCAAGCTAAGCCCAACGATAGCATCAAGCGCCACAACCCATGTTTCAGGCCATCTGTTGATCACGCATACGCCGAGCACGGCCAAAGTGACGACTTGGAGGGTCCCAAGAACGAGGAGAAGTGGTTTGACGCCACAGCGATCCGCGAAGACTCCGGTCAATAGCCGCATAAATGCATAGGCTACCAGGAACACAAAAGACGCAGTGCTCTGTGCGTCCTCGCTGGACTGATAGACCGCGTATAGCTGAGGACTAATGAGCAGCTTGATGCCGAAGCCAGGCAACATGATGCATGACACCCCTGTCGCAACAAGCCAGAACTTTCTTTGGCGCAGCAAGTCGATGCGTGTGAGCTTACCTACTGCTGCAGGCATCGCCTTGTCAACAGAGTCGTTGGTCTCTTGCTCTGTGGTGCCAATTGTAGATCCGACGGCTTCTATCCGTGCCTGGTCGGATGTATTCAGCTGCGCCGTGGGATTCGCAATCTTCATGGATGAATGCTCTTTGGGTGGGAGTCGCAGAAGCAAGGCTGGCGGTGCACAGAGCACGAAACTTACCCCAGCGAGCAATTGGAAAGTGGCTGGGGTTCCAAGGCCATCAATCAAGCGAGGACCGACGAACGAGAAAGCAGCAGGCCAAAGCCCCATGACGAATCCCATCAAGCCACCGCCCAGACCGCCGCATCCGGCAACTTTGAAATTGAGCAGTGTGCTCATTACTAGCGACATGAAAATGCCAGCACTGCCACATGCCAAAATGATGCTGAAACCGACGTAGAGCAACCACACTTGTGAGGTCTCCATGGCGATCGACGAGACTAAAAGACCAACGGAATATAGAAAGGTGCCACCCGTACAACTTATTCGTAGCCATCTCCCCGTCAAATCGTCCGGGCTGCCGGCCATCTTGCCGCTGATGGCTGATCCAGTCACTGCAGCCACAAAGATCGCCAGACTCCCAATGTAAACAGGCCCACCTGTGGATAGAGACCAATTTTGGCCATGCTCGAACTGTCTGCGGATATCCAAGACGAACACGTTGAAACCGTAGAGTACTGAACTGAAAGAGCCCGCGCAGATCAGAAGAGGCAGTTGAACAACACAGCAATACTTCCACAGGTCTTGCTTCTGCCATTCGTCCAGGCGGGCATGAACGGACGGGAGAAGCTTAGCAGGGTCTACCATGGCACCTTCTCTGCTGGAATTCACACACCGACCGCTAAGATGCATGCATGCTTGAGACAAATGCACACAGACATCTCCAGGGTAAAGGGGCCCAGGGACACACGAATGCATACACACACAAATCCCAAGGGTTCCCTACAGTTTCCTATATTTTAGTGTTTTTGTCTTATCCCTCAAGAGAGTCCAGCCATGGCGACGAGCAGCCTACCAGAGTAAAGGGGCCCAGGGACACACGAATGAATACACACAAATCCAAAGGATCCCGACAGTGTCCTATATTTTCTGCGTTTGTGTCTTCCCCCCCCCACTTCCCACAGTTTCCCCCTCATTGTCTGGGGACACGGCGATGAGTTGTGTCTGTGTGCTTTTTGCCCCCTTCTGATTCTTGAAAACATTCCGAAGAGAGTCCAGCCATGGCGACGAGCAGCCTACCAGAGGCCCGAAAAAGGAAAGGCCGCGAAAATAATGAGAAACGTACCCAACTGCCTGTGGCCAACGGCTGCGTGCTCCGGCCTGGTGGACGGCACGGAGCTGGGGGAAACAGGAGGCACCGATACCGCTGCTCCTCGGATTTCTCCCTGGGCGCGTCCTGACCAAGATTTTGAGGCGAATCCAGCCGTGGCGACGAGGGTCTCCTAGGAGGCCCAAAAACGGGAAAACGAGGTAGCGGTATAGGTACCTTTTTCTCCTCGGAGGAGCAGCAGAGAGGAGCCCCAGGAAGCACCCCAGGGGGGCCACGAGCGGCCAAAGCAGCTCCCTGGCTTGTCAGGATGGGGGCCCCGAAGAGACGCGGCGCTCCTCCGCACTGTCGCGAGGCTCGCTGCGTCGCGACAGTGCCACCGGCGCGCTACATGATCACAGCCCTGGCCGACGCCAGCGACACGAGCAGCTACCGCATGCCGTCCCAGCCCAGAAGGATCGGCAGGTCGTGCGGGAGCTCGAGGAGGAGCGGCTCACGGCTTCAGGCCACGCACGCGGGGGCCGAGTCTGGATGGCCCCAGCGCCTCTGGGCGCCGATGCCAGGAGTGAGCAAGAGGATGCGAAGGAGGGATCTACACATGTCCACCCACCGCCGGGGGGGCCGATGCCTGGGGGGGGGGGGAGGGGCCCGGGGCGGCAGATATGGACATGCGCCTCTGTGCCCGCAGCACGCTGTGGAGGGGCCCGAGGCTCCTGCAGCAGGAGGCCCCAGGAAGCTCCCAGGAATCCCCCAAGAGGCTCCCGAGAGGCCCCAAGACTGCTCCCAAGAGCGCCCCGAAGAGGCCCGAAGAAGCAACCTTGAGAACTCTGACCCGCAAGCCAGGAATGGTGGCGGGATAACTAGTTAGGCCGAAGGCCACAGGATACCTGGCCCCAGAAAGCCCCGAATACGTCAACATCCACCGCCTCCCGAGGTCCAAGACGATCGGTCTGCGCACTGCCGAGCAATCACCTGCTGCCGACTGCCGGGTCGGGCCGCACCCACACGCAGGAGGCACCATCGCGCAAGGGCCTCTTGGGGCCCTGTGTGAAGCGCTCCCTAAAGGGTCGCGCCGAGGTTCAAATGCGTTGCATTTGAAACTTCGAAGTGCGAGTGAAAGCGTCATGCGACGACCTTGCGGGCGAAACCGAATGGACTTGATTCATCGGCATCGCCCGTCTCAAAAGTCCCTTTCCCTGGGGTCCCGCTTGGAACCACATGACCATGGCCCGTCTTGGAATCCCATGGCCTCAAGAAGAATCCTGCGACAAAAAAGGAACCGAACTTTATACACCGATGCTCCTTTCCGGCCCCGCACTGAGATTCGCACAAGAAAACGGATCCTGGTGTATACGGCATCCTGGTGTATACATTGTTTGCTGATTCCACAGGAAAACGGGGAAACAAGTATACACCACACCACCCCGACGTCGCCCCCGACCCTCAACAAAAATCCGGGGGATTGAACAACAGCCCGCCACTGGTAATGTATATGCTGCAATTTCCGAACAAGGCCCTCGAGGCACGCAATCCTCCCCAGATGTTCCGTGAGTCTGGGCTCGTCCAAGGGTTAAGTCGGTAATGGGGTCCTGAAGGATGGGGTCCTAAGGATAGGAAGGGATCCAAGGGTGGATTTACGTTGTCTGAGGCACCTCGTCCTTAGGACCCCATCCCTCAGGACCCCATCTTTGAACGAAAGAATGCGGAGGGCGGCGGCGGCGGCCATCGCGGAAGTCGATGAGGATCACGACGCCCGTCCAGGGCCACCCCAGCTCCCCGGCATGGCGCGTGCGCCCCCCTGGTTGAGGCCTGGAGGGCGGCATGCACCCAGGATTAGAAGAAGAACAGGGTTCAGGGATGGACAGAATCCCCTTTAGTAAAGCGTGGTCTAGTGAAAACGACCTTGGGCCCAAACCTGGCGGGCGCAGGCCTGGAACATGTCGGCCGCGGCGCCCTCTCGAGAACAAACAACGGACCATTCACTAATCGACGTGTCAGGGTGGGGGTTCTGTCCTCTTCCGCAAAGAGTAAGCAATCAACGTTCGACGGTCCGCGCAGATCTCTTGAACCTGCGCTGGACCACCCTCCCTGGCGCGCGGAGCGCGCCACGGGCGGCGACAGAGGCGCCGCCAGGGGGTCCCAGCGCCGATCCAAGAGATCCGCAGGAGAAGGTTGTTCTGCCTGCGCGGCAAGGATGCAGGGGTCTTGGAGGGCCAGATTTCACGCTTCTCGAACGAGGCTGGGCAGCGAAGGTCGCTGACGACGGGTCGAAGGGGCAATGATGCAGGGGCAACCTTGGGAAGTCGCGCATCTTCCCGATGCGGGCTGGCTGTATGCCGTTTCCGCCTCTTCTAGGCAAGCGCGCTGCACTGCTCGCAGGGTCATTGCCCGCAGATGGCCTGGATCCGTCGTGGGGGATCTACGATCCATCACATCGAGGCGACCCTGGGGTTCTTTAGGACGCTTGCGAGTAGGCACTCTGCGAGCAGCGGAACGCGCTCGGTGATCTTCGAAGGATGGCCCTGGCCGCGCCCCCCGGCGCCCAGGGCCACCCTCTGCCGGACGCGGCGCGCAGAGGTGCGCGTGCGCCTCCTCCGCTCACCCCGACCTTCCAGGAGGGCCCCAAAATGGCACCAGGACGTCGACGTTCTCATTCCTGTCGAGGTTTGATGCAGTTCAGGTAGATCTATAGGTCTGGAGTGCTATCTCCTAGCACGCTGGAAGGTCAGGGTAGCATGGGAGAAGGGGGGCCTGAGTGCAACGGCTCCTGGACCCTGGCGCTTGCCCCAGGACGAGGCCGTCCCGAAGCGTTTTGTTTGACCGCCCCGAGGCCCGTGGAGGGCCCCGAGCGACCCGAAACAGCGAAACATTCTCAAGACCCGTTTCTCTCAGGACCCGCTTCCCCCATGGCGATCTCGAGGGGCAGCGATAGAAGGAGGGGGAGAAGCATCGACCTGGAACCGGCGATGCGATACATCGCGGATAGATCGGCGATAGGCCCCCGATAGCGAATCTCCACCTTCCTCGGCGGGGTGGGATTACCAGGCCCCTGTCGGCGATGAATGGGCCATTGGGGGTCGAAGCATCCCCCCCTTTCCCGATCCTAGAAGAAGGAAGCGGCACAAGCATAAACTTCTGGCGCTCCGCGCGGATTTTTTGGATCTGCGCTGGACCCCCCCCTCCCTGGCGCGCGGCGCGCGCCGGGACGACGCCAGAGGCGCCGCCGGGAGGCCCAGCACGGATCCAAGACGTCCGTGCGGGGCGCCAGAAGCTCATGTCTGTGGCGTTCTTCTTCTTCTTCTTTGACGAACGAGCAACACACACCCATACCCATAGGGGGGTCGTTGAGAGGAGGACTGGCTATGGGTATGGGTGCGGGTTGTCGGACCCTGGGGAGCGCTCCCGTTCGAGCGGGGACCCCCATCCGACAACACGCACCCATAGCCCTCTCCGACCCCCCTATGGGTATGGGTGTGTGTGTGTGTGGTTGGTTCGTCAGTCTTCGTCTTCTTCTTCGACTCTCGCTGCCGCCGAAGGACACGCCTCCCCCGTGGCGACCCGCGGGGCCCGCCCCGAGCGGCCGAGCAGGGCGGCCCCGCGCGAGGAGGAGGAGGAGGAGGAGGAGCAGGAGGAGGAGGAGGAGGAGGAGGAGGAGGAGGAGGAGAAGGAGGAGGGGGGAGGAGGAGGAGAGGAGGAGGAGGGAGGAGGGGCGAGAGGCCCTTCGGGGGGGGGGGCGGGGCGGCGCCCGACCTCGCGCTCGCCTGCCAGGAGACCGCGGCCGAGGCGGCGGCGGCCCCCAGGAGCCCGGCGACGCCGGCGACCAGCCCGCGGGAGGCGAGCCTGGCCGGGAGGGGATCGCCACAGGCAGGGCGGGGGGGAGAGGGGAGGACGGGGAGGTCCTTCTCCTGCTCCTCCTCCTCCTCCTCCTCCTCCTCCTCCTCCTCTCCTCCTCCTCTCTCCTCCTCACTCCTCACTCCTCCTCACTCCTCACTCCTCCTCACTCCCTCTCCTCCTCCTCCTCCTCCTCCTCCTCCTCCTCCTCCTCCTCCTCCTCCTCCTACCTGTGGTAGTGATGGTGGAAGCAGCGGCCCATGACTCCCTGGTGTGGCCACGGGGCGGGGCCGTGAGCGACGATCAAAAGCGGGGCTTGCGCGCGATGACACAGTGACCTCATGCGGTGGCTTGCGCGGGCCGCCCGCGCGGCACGCCATATTGGAAGCGAGGGCGTTTACGCGCGAGCTCACGCGGGCAGCTTGCGAGCCAACGTCGGCGCAGACGATCCTGTTTTTTGCGTCGCCCACGTGGAGATTGGGGGTGAGATCGCAGTGGAACGGAGACCCCCACCCAGGAAATCGTTTCGTTTCGCTCGTGTCGTGCGTGCGGGCAATCCAGAGAATTGATTCTCCCCCTCCCACCCGTCCGTCCGTGCGGCGGTGGCTCGCGGTGTCCCGCGGTGTTCCATGGTGTCCCGTGGTATCCGCCGTTGCTAGGGCGAAGTCAAGACAAATTATTCTCCCCCGCCCGCCAGTCCGTCCGTCTGGCAGTGGCTCGCGGTGTCCTGTGGTGTCCCCTGGTGTCCTGTGGTGTCAGATCGATAGTGAGATCGATAGTGAGATCGCTAGTGAGATCGATGTGGTACCCCGAGAAGTCCCGTGGTGTCCTAGATAGTGAGATCGATAGTGAGATCGACAGGTGTCCCGTGGTGTCCCGTTGAGTAAGATCGATAGACAGATCGATAATGAGATCGATACTGAGATCGATGTGGTGCCACGAGGTGTCCCGTGGTGTCCCAGAAAGTGAGATCGATAGAAAGATCGATAGTGAGATCGACAAGTGTCCCGTGGTGTCCCGTTGAGTGAGATCGATCGTGAGATCGATGTGGTGTCCCGAGGTGTCCCGTGGTGTCCCGTTGAGTGAGATCGATAGTGAGATCGATAGTGAGACCGATCGTGAGATCGAGAAGTGTCACGCGGTGTCCCGTGGTGTCCCGTGGTGTCCCGCGGTGTCCCGCGGTGTCCTGTTGAGTGAGGTCGATAGTTTGATCGATTGAGTCAGATGTTGGCTCCCCCCCCCCCCCCACCCCCCCCCACAACCTCCTTATCACCCGAAGGGTGGTCGTATAGGTATGGGTGCAGGCTGTCGGGACCCTGGGAGGCTCCCGTTCGAGCGGGGGCCCTCCTCCGACAACACGCGCCCACAACCCTCTCCGCTCGGGAGCGGCCAAGAGAGGGGTGTCCGAGAGGGGGGGTGCAAATCATGACCGGCGGCATGTGCGCGGCCCAGCGGGGGGGCCTGGGACGTAATGAAAGAAGAAGAGGCGCCATGAATTCTGAGGAAATATCATGGCCCGCGCCATGAGGGGCTTTTCCGTTCGAGCCGTCATCTCCGTCATTCTTTGTACTCGTCGTCTCTGTCCTTCCCTTTCCCTGGGAAACCTCTTCCCCTGGGCTCCAGCCAAGCCGACCTTGAGCAACCTCGTAATTGAGTCGAAGGGAAGCCCCTTCCCTTTGATCCCTCCCCCGCCGGGAGGGGGGGGGGGGTGTCGACCCCCCCCCCGGGTCAGATACGACGCCCCCCCCTGGGACTCCTCTTCCCCTGGGCTCCAGCCAAGCCGACCTTGAGCAACCCCTGGGCTCCAGCCAAGCCGACCTTGAGCAACCTCGTAATTGAGTCGAAGGGAAGCCCCTTCCCTTTGATCCCTCCCCCGCCGGGAGGGGGGGGGGGTGTCGACCCCCCCCCGGGTCAGATACGACGCCCCCCCTGGGACTCCTCTTCCCCTGGGCTCCAGCCAAGCCGACCTTGAGCAACCTCGTAATTGAGTCGAAGGGAAGCCCCTTCCCTTTGATCCCTCCCCCGCCGGGAGGGGGGGGGGGGTGTCGACCCCCCCCCCGGGTCAGATACGACGCCCCCCCCTGGGACTCCTCTTCCCCTGGGCTCCAGCCAAGCCGACCTTGAGCAACCTCGTAATTGAGTCGAAGGGAAGCCCCTTCCCTTTGATCCCTCCCCCGCCGGGAGGGGGGGGGGGTGTCGACCCCCCCCCCCGGGTCAGATACGACGCCCCCCCCTGGGACTCCTCTTCCCTGGGACTCCTCTTCCCTTGGGCTCCAGCCAAGGCCGACCTTGAGCAAACCTCGTAATTGAGTCGAAGGGAAGCCCCTTCCCTTTGATCCCTCACGCCGGGAGGGGGGGGGGGGGGGTGTTCGACCCCCCCCGGGTAAGATACGGAACGCCCCCCCTGGACTCCTCTTCCCTGGGCTCAGCTCCAGGGCCAAGCCGACCTTGAGCAAACCTCGTAATCTTTTGCTGCGCAGGGCTGTAAGCCCATTCTTTGATCCCTCGAGGAGGCCGCGGGGAGGGGTTGGGATGGGGGGTCGAACCCCCCAGGGTCAGATACGACGCCCCCCCCTGGGACTCCTCTTCCCCTGGGCTCCAGCCAAGCCGACCGCGACCTCGTAATTGAGTCGAAGGGAAGCCCCTTCCCTTTGATCCCTCCCCCGCCGGGAGGGGGGGTGGGTGTCGACACCCCCCCCGGGTCAGATACGGCGCCCCCCCCTGGGGCTCCTCTTCCCCTGGGCTCCAGCCAAGCCGACCTTGAGCAACCTCGTAATCTCTTGCTGCGCATTGCGAACAGGGTCGGCGGCACCGGCCGTCAGGCCTTCGCAATATCATGGCCCGCGCCATGAAATCCACACCCCCCCTAGTCATCACCCCCCTCTTTTCCTTTTCTACTCCCGATCCGCTCCCCCTGTCCCCCCTGTGGGTGTGGGCGTGTGCTGCTCACTCGTCAGTGGCGATCCTACGCCGCGGCTTGAAGGGGGCCGCCTGCGCGGCACACCGCGCGAGGAGAGGGCGCCTACGCGCGGCCTTGCGCGAGACGCGCAGGCGAGAATGTCGGCGCAGCCGACCCCGTTTTCTGCCGTCGCTCACGCCCAGGAGGACTGCAAGAGGCCTCCAAGAGGCTCCCATGAAGTTTATGTTGCTCCTATCGTACTTCAGGACCCCATCCCAGAAAGAATTTCGAGCACCTGGAAAAGTGTCGAAAGAGTGTCGAAAGAGTGTCGAAACAGTGTCGGACGAGCGTTTCCCAGGGTCCGACGCGTGGAAACCCTTGAGCTTTTGGCTACTTTTCCGGTGCTCGAGATTCCTTCTGGGGATCCAGGCTGAACTAGGTTGGAACATCCTAACCTCAAGCTCGCGGAGTTGAATGCGATCGGAAACGGATCGGATCGCCAACGAACAGTCAGGATCGAATCGAAATTCAGCGCCCCTCAAACGGGGACTCCACTAACGGGTACTTTGGCCAGTGACCCAGCGAACCCGAAATGGTAACTTTCGGTAAACAATCGGCAAAAAATCAAAGTACCCGTTAGTAACTTTCGGCAAAAAATCAAGTAACCGTTAGTAACTTTCCCTTCCCGAAATGGTAACCTTCGGCAAGAAATCAAAGCACCCGTTAGTAAGTACCCGTTACGGTGCCGTGGAGAAATCGGATCGCCACGCCTGGCTCCGGCCGCTGCCGGTGCACCGAGTCGACTCGGAGGCGCGGCCCCGGCCGGCGACCCGCGTCGCGTCGGAGCGGACCGCAGGCGGCCCTGCACAGGACTCAACCTTCAGTACAGGGCAGTTTTTAATACATGTGATTTTTTTAAATATAGGAGTTTTAATACATGATGAATGTATGAATAGATTTATGCGTGAACTCATCGTTGTTTTTAATGCTGAATCCCTGCATGTTTAATACATGATCCGCACGCGGAGCATGTATTAAAAACGGCACTGTATGGTGGAACTCTTTGCTCCGGTGGGCTGCTGGGGATACGGCAGTCGCCCATCCTCCTGTCGGGGGTCGGCGGTATGGCGACGACAACGGAGCTTCCACCGACTCAGGTCAATGCAAGCCCTCGCCAGTCAGGCTTTGCAGGAGCCTGCGAGATCCCCCGGGGTCCTGCAGGATCCTGCGCGCTCGCCCTGGTCAATGCAACCCTGGCCTTGCAGGCTCCTGCAGGATCCGGCGCTCTGGCGGTCCCTCTGGAGTAAGCCTGAGCGGGAAGGGAGGTGGAAAACGGTGCGTCCAACGGAAGCCGTGGCCTCGCAACCACAGCTGGGCGCGCGTGCGGAGGCCGCCTGCATCATGCCGTGCTGATGCCCCCGCCAATACACCGACGCCGACGCGGGCCGCGCAGGCCGATCCTGGGCCCATGACTTTTGTCTCAAGGGCGGCGTACGCACCGACCTTGGGCCCCGGATGGCTCTTGCGAAATCGGTGCCGCTGTATGGTTGTGGTTGTCCGAGGTGGCAACGTGGTGCATCAAGCATTGGCAGTCGCCTCGTAGCTCAAGCTGGATGTGTGGAAACCCGCTGTGTGCCAAACCGACCTGATGCTAATTATCACGCAATGAAGCATCCAGAGAAACGAGTGGAGAGAGAAGAGTGAATCACGTGGCCAGTCGACCGCTGGGAAAACAAGGTCCCCCTTCAGACTGCGAGACGGGCCTCCCAGTGTGCAGAAAATCCGCCGATCTCATGGGGTCTCCAGGCGTGTCAAATTTCACCCAGAAGCCCCACAGAAGCCCAAACTTCGCGTTTGCAAGGGGGTTTTGGGCCCAGTCAGTCCGATCCTGATACCTTGTGGGGCCTCCAGCCAGCTGGGCTCCAAACTGTATCCAAGAGCATCCACAAGGGCCCCAGATGGCTCTCCAACTGTGCCGAGGTGTCTCCAACACGGCCGCAAAAAATGGCCCGAGGACGGCGCGGCGCGGCCCAAACCTGCCCCAGGACGGCCCAGAAGACGCCGAGAGGACCCCCTGCGAGGGCCTCTGTTACCAGCCTCGAACGTATCCCTATCCCTAAGATTGACACGCCAAAAGGCGATGACAATCTTAGGGATTCGCCTTCAAAAAATAAGGGAATCCCTAAGCTTGGCATCGTGATGAGGTGCCCAGCATAGGGATAGGGATATGTTCCAGGCTGGTAACTCTGGAGGCCACAGAGAAGGCAGCCGACGGGCCCCTCCGAGCAGCCCCGTCGCTCGCCCCCCCTCCCAGCAAGGGCGCCGCGCCTGGCGGTGGGTTCCGCCGGCCCCTGGGGTGCCGCGGCCTCCCGCTGGACGGTCCGCGCGTCGGTCCGCTCCTGCGCGGCGCGGCGCGGGAGGCGCAGGGGGGGGCGCGGGGGAGCAAGGCCGCCTGGAAGCGTGGATCTGAACGTGGCGAAGGGGCGGGAGAAAAGGGGGGTGGGATGGGGAGAGAGAAAGAGAGAGAAAGAGAGAGAGAGAGAGAGAGAAAGAAAGAAAGAAAGAGAGAGACAGAAAAAGAGAGAGAGAGAGAGAGAGAGAGAGAGATGGGAGGGAGAGGGGAGAGGGGGCGGAGGAGGATCAGAACGGTGGGTGGTGGCTGGCGCCGCTGCTTGAAGTGGGGGTACGGGTCACCCCCCTACGGCCGTCATCGTTGGCCGGATGGGGTGGGTCGGGAACCCAAGTAACCCCGCGGATGGAAGGTGCGCGGGCTGCGAGGCCGATCGGCGGTCCTCTCAGGCGAGGCCTGGTGACGGTCCTCGCCGAAGGAAAGGGGGAGAGGAAAACGTGGGGCGTAGCGTAGCGACGATGCCGTCCGCTACGCGTCCAGGTCCTGGTCCCGAAGTGGGAATTCCAAAAGACGGGGAAAACAACAACGTCACGCGCAGCTCCAGTTCCGAACTGAATAGGTCGGCCCCGCGCGTTCGGTATCCCAGAAGGGATAACGAGTGCGCACGCACGCGCTCTGCTGCCAGTTTGTTGCGCCCCCACGGGCGGGCGAAACGTGCCCCCCCCCCCCCCCCCCCGCATGTGGGCCGAATCCCAACCAACTGGGCCCAATCCCAACCAACTGGGACCAATCCCAACCAGTGTGAAAAGCAAACTGGGCCCAATCCCAACCTGCTTGGGATAGCCTCGCAATAAAATTTTTATTGTAGAAAAGCCCACGGCGACTGTGAAGACCAACTGACACCTCTTATGTCAAAGCAGAGGTTCTGGAAGCCAACATGCGTGCCAGAGTTGGGATTGGTCTCAGTTTTGATATGCGCAAGAGACCAACCAACCAACCAACCAGCAAGGCCCACTGGCAGACCGAAGGCCCCAAGGACAGCCGCGCCCCGCCGAGAGCTTCCCGATGATGGGCGGACATGCTCCGAATCAGTCCACCGAGGAAGGCACAAAGCCCGCAACGTTGCGCCCGAGCCCAGGGCAGACCCCATCGGCTACGCGGCCGGCTCACGAAAGCTCGCGCCACGCTGGAGGCGGCGGGGGGGGGGAGGGCGCGCGCGTCAGCATGGGGGCCTAAAGAGACCCCACTGGAACCGAGCAGAGACCAGGAACGCCTGAACCCCTGCCACTGATCCTGAACTTCCCTTCCCCTTTGCCCTTGCCCTTCCCGAAGCCAGCCAGCGGAGCTTCTCGGAGGCCATTATCAGACAAATCGGCCAGGAAGGCGCGGTGGTCTCTGCCGTGGCCTACGCCCTTGCGTTCGATGACCCTCTGGGCGCGGCGCGTGTGCCTGTGGTCGTTCAAGCTGCGCCACTGTGACTTGGCGCGCGCCAGGCTGTTCCAGTGGAACGTCGCGCAGCTCGGGATCGTCGTCGGCAACCTCTCGTCGCCGAATGAGCTGACGGTGTCGGCGTCTGTGCATGAATCATGCCTGCTACTGGGTGCGCCACCTGCGCTGAGGACGCCGTGCCGGGGTCGGCAGCGGCCGCGGCTGAAGGTGGGGTCGGCACCGCGCCCAGGGCAGCGGGTCCCATGCCATCCCAGCTCGGTCCCGCCGCAGTGCCATGGGCACTCTAAGCCTGATCTTGCGCGGGCGTGGCCGCGAGGAACGCGCGGGGTTGGGCCGAGTGGGCGGCCGAGGCGAGGTTGCCTGGCGAGCCCTCGACCGCGTGCCCAGGCGCCCGCAGCTGGCCAGCATGAGCGACAGCTGCTGAGCTTTGGCGGGGTAGGCCATGTTGCAGCGCTGCAAGATCATGGCGGATTTGATGTTTGGCGCGCCCACCGCGAGCAACAAGAGGAACTTAACTCCTCGTAGCCTTTCCTGAGTTGACCCGCCTGCTGCGCCCCGCTGGTGCAGGCGATGTCGAAGCTGATGTGGAGGTTGACGATGCGCTCCAGCGGCAATCGGTTGAAGTTGATCACGCCCGATACAGCTTGGGCGCGCTCGTCCTCGCCTTGCTGGCCCCGCCGATCGGCTGGGGTGCGCGTTGGGGAAGTCGTGGGCGGCGCTGGTTCGCCTTTCTCTTGCTGGCGGCCGCTCGCCCGTGTAGTCGCGCTCCATGTTGGCGAGGCGAAACGAGACGTGGGCCGCTTGGCGGAACTCGTCGATGCCGGGGTTCGCCGCTGACCAGACCACAGCCCACCGCGCCAGCTTTGGCAAAGCGCGCGACCGTGCTGCTCGAGAACCCGCCGGCGGTGCTCGGGTAGAGTGCCTCGACGCCGTCGTGTGTATATGTCGCGGGCATGCTCTTCCTCGTCAGCGTATTGGGCATGCTCTTGCTGTGCAATCGGCACTCGGAACATCCTGCAACAAAATATGGGAATGCCCGTCGCGCGTCGCCTCGGCACTGCACTGGTCACCACCAACTGCAAAGTTGTCAAGAGGAGCACGCATCGGGGTCGAAGTCTGCCAGATCGCTGGGAGCCCATGAGCGACGTGGAAGGTCCTTTTCCGCGGGGTCGAAGACGAATAGTCGCAGGTTCGTCAGGCGGCCCCCGTAGCGCTGACAACATGGTCGCCAGACCCTCCAACATCTTCTCGCTCGGCTCTGTCTGGACCTCCCAGGCTCTGGCAACGCAGTCGCTTGGAGCTCGGGGCGCCTCGCCAGAGCCGTGGATGTGAACGTCGCATCAAACAACTGTCTGACACCTTCGGATGCACCCGCAGGCGGGCGAAATGGAGGCGTCGCGTCCGCTGCGCCTTCAGGGAGCTCGGGGGGCTCCGGGCGCACGAACTGCTCAGACACGATCTTCGCGAGCCTGGGGGGGCGCGCTGAGGGGGGGAGGCGGCGCGGGGCGGCGGCCCTTGTAGCGGATGTTCTAATAGTGGTGCATGCGCGCCCCCCCCCCGTGGGCGCACCTGGCGCCCGGGCTAGGGCCCGCCCTGGCGACTCTGGAGAGCCGCCGCCTGCCGCCGCGGGCGGGTGAAAGAGCGCGCGCGCGATGGGCCGCGAAGCGCGGCGAACGCAGGGCCCTTGAAGGTCGTCCTTAATGACGTTGGATAACGCGACGGAATGTGGGCGCCGTGGCCATCTATCTAAGCAGGTCGACGAGGGAATGCCGCGCAGGGATCAACATCGGACGCGGTGCTTTTCAGCGCCGCGAATACGGGGTGAAAGGCCACGACGAGTCTGGCGCGGGCGCGGAAGGACCTCCCGCGAGGCCCAAATGGCGGGGGAAAATGGCATGGGGTGAGGGGCCATTTACAGGTCGCCGATCGAGTCGCGCGGGAAGTGGGCCCATGGGGACATGGAGGAGGGGGAGCGGGGGGGGGGCGGTGGTGGTGATTTTTCCGCCGCTGCGCTGCTCTGCCGCGAATGTTCACGATCCCCCTGGCGGCCAGCCACGCAGCCGCCGAGCGCGACGCTCGGGCGCAACCAGCGCAGAAAATCACAGGCGCTAGGCCGCCCGCGAAGCTTGCGGACTACAGCCGAAGCAGGTGCCCCCGCGGCGGTGCCGGGGAACTGGCCGCCGGGCCTGCGTCAATCGACAAAAACGCAGAACGCCGAGGGCATCAGCGTCGAGCCAGGAATTGTCATCTTCGGGCGCGTTCCAGCGCGGATCCGCCACCCGCGCCTCTGGCGCGAGATGGGGCGCCGAGGTAGAGGCTGCGCTGCTGCTGGTGCGAGAACTGTCAGTCTTCAGGGGCTCGGGCAAATTGCGCCCCGGGCCTTCCCGGGGTGGTCCGCGAGAACCCCCCCCCCCCGCGAGCTCCGCGGGCGCCGCGCACGCCCAGAATGGCACCAGAGAGCTTCCACTCTGAAAGAAATCGAACGAACACACATACGATGACAGCCAGGCGGCCCGAGGCTTCCAAGACGCTCCATGAAGCCTCCGCCGAGGACGGCCGCAGAGCCCCGCGGCCTAGGAAAGCGCCGAGACTGCTGTGAAGGAAGCGCCCATAGTGGTCCAGGAGGACACGAAGACCGCCCCCAGAGAGGTCCTCGACGGGAGGGCCCGAGCGGACTCGGACCCCAGAGGCCCGCGAGAAGCCCCCTCAAGAAGCCCGCAAGGCTGTCGAGAGGCCCCGAGACGCCACCAGGGGGCGCCCCAAAGGCCCCGCAACTGCACCCGAGAAGCCCCCGAAAGCGCCCCGAAGAGACCACGGCGAACATTCGAAAGAGCTCTGGCCCACGACGACCCGCGCGCGGCGACGGGGCGGGCCGACGGCCATTGGGCCCGGTCCTGAAACAGTCTGCAGCGAGCGAAGGCCACGCGGCCGACCGTTGCAGGGGCGAGCGAGATGCCGCGCAGACCCCCCCGTCGAGAAGCTCTTACATCTGAAAATAGATGCAGAGTGCACGGCCGTCGAGGAAAAAAGAAGGCGATGCGCTTGTGGCCAAGATCGATTAATTTGGCGTCATGGAGCTTGCGCGCCTTCCAGCACATGCTGCTGGAAAAAGGGGCAATGAGACCGCGTCGCCCTGAAACGTTGATTGCGCTGCCAGAAAATGCCCCTCCAAACCCAGGAATGGCGGGCCTTGGGCACGGGGGCGGCTGGCCACGCTGGGGGGTCCTGCCAGGGGCCCCATTGCGGGGCGCGCCGCGACAGCTTGCAATATCCGTGCAACGTGGTGCCCAGGGCGCTCGAAGTTGTTCAGGGTTGTCGCCGCAGCTTCTGTTGTTCAGTATGCTGTTTTGCTGTTCAGTGTGGTTTTCATTGTTGTTCAGTATGGTGATCACTGTTCAGTGTGATGTCGACGCGGTATCAGGTGTTGTTCAGTGTTGTTCATCGTGTTTCAGCATTGCTCAGTGCTGTCCAGTGTCGCCCAGGAACCACTCTGAACGCCTTTGCGGCCTGGTCATCATGGAGCGCGCTGCTTACATCTCACCCCGCGCTGTTACCAGGGGCAGCGGGCTCCCGATGGGGCAGGTGGCCTGGGACAGGTCACATGGAGGCCACGGCGGAAGCAATCTGGCAGCGAGCACGCATGCTTCAAGCGTGATAGACAAGGCTCGGCCGAACCACTCAGACTGCTCAAGGATGGCCCCATCGTGGGCCTATGCTCTGGGCTTAGCGGGGTGGTCGGCCAAGTCGTTGCCAGCTTTGCAAAACTGGAAGCGGGGGGCCTCTCCAGCGTGGGCTTCCGACGTGGCCTTACCGAGGGAGACCAATGCACGTGCTTTGGAAACCCATTGCTTTCGTCAAAACAAGGCCATACCGCCTAAAGGCATACATTGGTTAGTTTTCAAATCCGCTCGGCTATTTTGTCTTGGTATAAAACGTATGTACATATAATTTTATCTGTATATACATGTATATTATCTATATATGTATATATGGTTATAGCTGTGTCTATGTGCATACATATGCGTGGACAATTGAAATTATACGCGCATGTGTGTGTATATGCACTTACATGTATGGATATATAGATATAGACATAGACTCTACGCAACCATTTCCATACACATTGTATATGTCGCATGTGCAACATTACATTCATGTCGCGTCTTTGCCTTGCCGCCCCATGTGTTTTAGACGGGATGGATATTCATATTTCGAGGCGGCCACTGCTGCGCGACGCAGGGAATCATATGGAGAGAGAAAAGGAGGAGAAGGAGGACAAACAGGAAGAGGAGGAATGGTTGATCATCGCTTTGTGGTTCGGGTTGCCTGGCAGAGTTTCTGATCAACCTGCAGCGCGGCCGCGGACTCGAGATTGCCAAACACGCCTCCCAAGATGCTTCCCAGAAGCCCAAAGACAAATGCCACTGATGCCCCATACTGTTTGATGGACGTGGGGGTTCTCGTCTTTTCGGCCGCGCGGCGCTCCGAAAACAGCCGAAGACACCTCCAGGATCAGAAGGGCCCGAAGGCGGCCCTATCAGCACCCATGCCGGCGCATAGCTCCAAGAGGGGGCTCAAACGGGGGGCCCGACATTGCATTTCGAGCTCTCGATCCCGAGAAGCTCCCAAGAGGCCGCCCCAGGAGGACCTTAAGAAACCCCTTAAGCACCGAGCTGGAGGCCCCCAAGGACGCAACCCCGAAAGAGGCCCCAACTGACCCCCAAGCTGCCTCAGGAGGCCCGCCCAAGAGCCCCCCAAGAGATGCCAGGAGAGACCCAAGAAACATCTATGAGGATTGTTGCGGTGGGACTTGCCGAAGGCAGCAGGGCGCTCGCTGTCCTGTCGACGGCCTCCCTGGACAGAGAGGGGTCTCCTCTTCCTCCTCCTCGTCCTCCTCCTTCTCCTCCTCCTCCCCCCCCTCCCCCCGTTCCCCCGCCCCCCTCTTTCCTCCTCCTCATCGTCCTCGTCCTTATCCTTCAACTTTTCGGCGCGCGCAAGAGTGGCCCCGGGTGAGAGCGACCTTTGGTGCGCAGTTTTTGGGGGGCCGCGGGGGGGGCCAAAAGCAAGCGCGCAAACCGATGTTCTGCCTCGTTTTCCGCACTCCGGGGGGCCCATTCGGCCCGCGCCAAAGGTCACTCCGGCGAAAAGTCACTCCCACGTACTTTTCGGGCCGCAGACGCCTGATCCCCATCGGCGTCAGCGACGATCTCGAGCAGGTCGGCAGGCGAATCTGTTCTCGCTCCACCGCCGCCCTAAATGCAACAGGGCTCGCTTGAGCATCCGCCGACCCCGCGGGGCCAGAAAGGCCGCGAGAGCAAGATTGATGCCCCTTGCCCCCTGCCCCCGAGGAAACACATGTAAGGTTTTGGGAAAAGGGGGGGGGGGGGAGGGGCGACGGACGAGGCGGTCCCATGTACATTCATTTAGATGATGTTCGAGGGTCGGTCTTCTGACCTTGTTTCTTGAACTTGCCAAGAAAGTCCTCCTCGCGGAGGGTGTCAAACCACGCTGGGTTCAACCTGCACAAGGGGAGCTCAGACAACGTATGATCCCAGTAGTGATCTTTCTGCCTGAGCCTCCAAACAAAACGGTTTTTCATGCAGCTGTCTGCAAAAAGCCAAGCGTTACATTTCAGCATTGTTTTGCCGAGCCGCATCGCTTTCGAAGCAGCCTCAGGGGTGAGAATCGGGCCGTGCTCTCCTAGAATAGATAAATATGATGACAGAGCAGTGAGAAGCAAGACCCTAGTGCGGCTCCTGGGCTCCCCGCTGCATTTTTCCTCGCAGAGGTGGCGCGCGAAAAAAATCATAGTTTTAACGCTCGCGGCTTTGAAAGAGCTGCTCAGTTCAGGGTAACTCTGGCAGTGGAGGCTGTCCTTCCCGAACGAGGCCAAGCTGAAGCCCGGGCCCTGGGGCCGGCGCAGCCAAATTCCCCCCCCGCCCCCCGCTTCACCCTTGGCCCGCCCCCCCTCCTTGAGGAGTGGCGGCGGGCCAGGGAATGAGGGCCACCCTCGCCTCGCGCTCTCGCCCCCCTTCACTCCTTTCCCGCCCTCCCTAGTGCCCTCCCTCTCTCGGCCACTCTTTGTCGTCATTTCGTTTCCTCCGCGTGTTCCCCCCCCTCCTCTTTGCGCCTCCTTCCTTGCCCCTTCCTCTCTCCCTCGCTGCCCTCCTCCTCTTTGCGCCCGACGCCTTCGGGTACGATAACTTGCGATCTCTGCACCACGTGAACACTCTCTCCCACAGATCTAGCAGCAAGTCGTCGGGGCGCCCAGGCCCCAACAATCCCTCTTGGATGAGATCGACCAGAGCCGACGGCAGTATATCGCGACAGGTGCCCAGGAACAGATTGTGAGCGTCATCGAACATGTTGAGTTCGATGCGCCACCCAGGAATCTGGCTCAACGGTGAGGCCGCGCCAGGTCTAGCTGAAACTTCTGCCATATACTCATGGTGTTTCACCATAGTGTCGCGGTGCGGCGCGTTGTCGCTAAAGTTGGTGAACCACATTGCGGGGTCTGACTTCACGTGGTTCACGTTCTGCGCGCCGCACCGGTCGCAAATCAAAGTGTGCTGCCAAGATCTCGTGAAAAAGTTGGATTCCCGGCGAGCCTTCAAGTCTGCTTTGGCACCGGCAAAGCACGCCATGTATCCGCTGACTCGCCCGCGCGCGAGTGCCAGCACATGGGCGCAAACAAATGCCCCCCCTCCTCATATTCCCCCCCTCGCCTTTTGCCCCTCCCCCCCCCTCGCTCTGACCTCGGGCGGGGGGTGGGGGGCGGGGCGGGGGGGGAGTAGGGGGGTAATGGGTAGTCTTTTGCATATATGCTATTTTTCACATGCATAATCATATCCACATAGATGTATACATATATACACGCAGGCCCCACGAGACCTACGAGCCCCATAGGCCTCATGAGCACTATAAGCGTCGCGGGCCCCATGGGCCACGCGAGCCCCATGAACCCTCCGCGAAGCCCTATGGGAGCCCTACCCTCTGAGCCCATAGGCCCTATCAGCCCTACAAGCCCCATGTGTATATATATATATATGTATATATATAGTATGTATACATACATGTAAATCACACGCGAGCCCGATGAGCCCTATGTTCGAGCCGGCGCCTTCTGAGCGATCAATGGGCCCACATACATACATATACATACACACATACACACATCATACATACATACATGTGTACAGTCATACATACATCCAGACATATACATGTACATATACACATATATATATATGTATACATATGTATATGAATGCGGCACGTCTCGAAGGCTGCCGCCGTTTTCCCGCTGGCCAGGACCCGAACGCAATCGCCGAGGCGCGACAGGCGTCGGGGGGCGGGGCGTCGGATTGACGTAGCCAATGCATCCATTGCCAGTCAGCGGAACGCCGTCTCGTGTCAACCCCTCACGCATCCATTCAAAATCGGACGATATATACCGATAAATCTCCCAGAACACCATTTTCTTGATCTCTGTAGTCGGCACGCAAGCGTGTCTGACCACAGCAATGGGGAACACGCTGTCGTACGATGAACCAGTTCTAGACAATCCACTGCACCACAACCACGCGTAATATTCACTGCGACGATGCACGTCATAACCGTCGACAAACAAGAGCAAAGGTATCATCTTGCAGCGCATGGCAGGGTCCAAATCTTTCAGCACAGCGTGATCCCGATAAGGCTCCCACTCCGTAACGACGTCCCAGAAGCGCTGAAATCCAGCCTTGCCGTCCTTCCCCAGCACGGCGTCGCCGAACCTCTCCGGCCCTCTCTCCCATATGTATTTGATGAGCCTCGACGGCGGCAAAACGAATATCTCCGTGAGCTTCATCTTTTTCTTGCCCGGCTCACGCAGTGGGACCCAAACCCGCCTGCCTAGCAAGGCGGGGGAGCGCGTTGTAGCATCTGCCTGTGTATATATATATGTCCCAGTGCGACCCGACCCTATAGGAGTGAGCCCCTAGGAAAGCAGCATTAGTAGCAACAGTAAAGCTAAGCTAAAGCTAAGCTAACGCTAAGCTAAAGCTAAGCTAAAGATAAGCAGAAGCTAAGCTGTAGCTAAGCAAGCTAACGCTAAACTAAAGCTAAGCTAAAGCTAAGCTAAAACTAAAGCTAAAGCTAAGCTAAGGCTAAGCTAAAGCTAAGCTGAAGCTAAGCTAACGCTAAGCTAACGCTAAACTAGCGCTAAGCTACAGCTAAGCTAAAGCCAAGCTGAAACTATCAGCTGAAGCTAAGCTGAAGCTAAGCTGAAGCTAAGCTGAAGCTAAGCTAACGTAAGGCTAAGCTGAAGCTAAAACTAGCAAGAAAGCTAAAGCGAAAGCAAAACTAAAGCTAAAGCTAAAGCTAAAGCTTAGCTAACGCTAAACCAAAGCTAAGCTAAAGCTACGCTAGAACTCCGCTATAGCTAAGCTAAAGCTAAGCATGCTAAGCTAAAGCTAAGCAGAAGCTAAGCTACAGCTGAATTTATAAAACTAAGCTAAAAGCTAAAGCTAGGCTAAAGCTAAGCTAAAGCTAAGCTAAAGCTAAGCTAAAGCTAAGCTAAAGCTACGGCTAAGCAGAAGCTAAGCTAAAGCTAAGCGGTAACTGAACTAAATCTGCACCACAGCTTAGCTAAAGCTGATATAAAGCTAAGCTAACGCTAAGCTAAAGCTAAGCTAAATCAAAGCTAAAGCAACGCTAAAGCTAAGCTGAAAACTGAAGCTAAGCTAAAGCTAAGGTAAAGCTACGCTAAAGCTAAAGCTGAAGCTAAAGCTAAAGCTAGAAGCTAAAGCTAAAGCTAAATTTATAAAGCTCCCAGGGGGCTGGGGGAACCGCGGGGCGGATCCTGGGGGAACCGCCCGGGGCGAGGTCCTCTGCCCAGCCCCATATAAGCTGGGCCCTTCTAAGCAAGCGGCCTGTCTGTGACGGCCCCAATTGGCCTCTGAGATCGGCGGCCCATCGCGGGCCACCGCCGGCGCGCGCGACGAAACTTCGGCGGGCCCGCCCAGCGCATACATACATATATATATATACACACACACCTATACCCATCAGCTTTCGAGGGGATGGGGGGGGCAATTAGCCTCGCGAAGGACCCAGCCATAAGCAGTTGTGGGCGCAGCGTTCTGGGCCCATCGGTAGACGGGCCCCCCTATTTAATAGAGCCACGAACCGCATGGGGGGCGCGTCGACGTGGGGAACTTTACTGGGGCCTTCGGTGGCGCTCCTTATGGGACCACGAAACGTGTGCGAGGTGCGCCGAAATTCGCAGGGAAACGCATGCGGACCCCGCCGCTGGGGCCTTCGGTGGAGCTCACTATACGGGGCCATGAACTGAATGAGGTGTGCGCCGACACGGACGGGGAACGCGTGAGGGGCGTGCCGACAAGGGCGGGGGGATCCGCGTGCGGACCCTGCCACTGGCGCCTGCGGCGGAGCCCGCTATGGGGCCGCGAATCGCGCTGGGCGCGAAACCATTGGTCAGAAAGGGCAGCGGGGGCCGCAAGCGCCCAAGATAGAATCTAAAAAAAAAAAAAATCTAAATCTAAAAAGAAAAAAAAAAAAAAAAAAAAAGTAAAAAAAAAAATAAAAAAAAAAAAAAAAAAAAAAAAAACAAAAAAAAAAAAAAAAACAAAAAAAAACAAAAAAAAAAAAAAAAAAAAAAAAAAAAAAAAAAAAAAAAAAAAAAAAAAAAAAAAAAAAAAGCTAAAAAAAAAATTCTAAAAAAAAAAAATCTAAAAAAAAAAAACTCTAAAAAAAAAAAACAAAAAAAAAAAAAAAAAAAAAAAAAAAAAAAAAAACAAAAAAAAAAAAAAAAAAAAAAAAAAAAAAAAAAAAAAAAAAAAAAAAAAACAAAAAAAAAAAAAAACAAAAATCTAAAAAAAAAAAAAAAGACAAAAAAAAAAAAAAAAAAAAAAAAAAAAAAAAAAAAAAAAAAAAGGCGCATTGAACGAAGCATCTGCCAACCACCTGTCCATATCTCGATCTGCATTGGATGGGTCTCGCTTGGCGAGCGACGCCATCCACTCTACTCCGGGGCCTGTGGCGCCGCTCGCCTCTGCGGCGGCGGCCATGTCAACTGCGTCGTGCCACCATAGCTGTCCGCGGCCGACCCGCTCGAGCACGGCGTGGGCGAACGGGTCGTCGACGGACTCATCGAAGCGGGCCCTCCTCGAGGGCGGCGGAAATTATTTGACAATCGAAATCGGTGATAAGGATAAGGAGTAAGGATGAAAGACCCTCGGGCGCCCACTCTGAAATTTTCCCCGATCGGGGCGAAGGATGGGCCATCGAGGCAAGGATGCAGGGGTACCTTTGTGCATCATCCTTAACATCGACGTCGATTGACAGCGGGAAGTGGCGGATTTCCATGAGTGGGGGGGGGGGGTCAAGGGCGGCCCGGGGCCTTCGGGGTCGATGGCGCCCCCCAGGGGCCCCTGGATATTATAGTGGGCGGCGTGGGAATTGCCGAAGGGCACATGGGGGCGCAGGGGAGGGAGGGGGGGGGGAGGAGGAGGAGGGGGGGGAAGGAGGAGAAGGAGGAGTAGGAGGAGGGGAAAAAAAAAAGTAAAGAGAAAAAAAGGGCCCCTTTGCTTCTAGGCTTCCACCCCCCCATCATCCGTCGCGCCACCGACCGCCCCCACAGCGGCTTCCGCAGTCGGGCGTGGCCCGTGCCTCTGTGGGGGGGCCCCCCGCCTCCTCGTCATCCTTCTCCTCCTCGTCGCCCACCCCCCATCCCACTTCTCCTCTGAGCTCTGCGCTGCGCTAGACCTCGCTGACGCCAGCGCCCGTCTCCTCATCCTCCCCCTTCTCCTCCCCTTCCACTCTCTTTGTCCACCTCCCCCTCCTGATCCTGCTGCTGCTGCTTCTGCTTCTCCTCCTTCTCCTCCTCGCTGCCCTCCTCCCCCATCCCCCCCCTCCCACCCCTCATCCTCCTCGCCCCCCCTCCTCCTCCCCCCCCCCCCTCCCCCTCCTCCTCCTCCTCCTCCTCCACCCCCATGCCGACTTCGACGGCGTCGACGTCGACGACGTCGCCCGTCGTCGTCGACGACGCCGACGTCGTCGACGACGTCGACGACAGCTACGACGCCGTCGATGACGACGACGCTCCTCCTCTCCCCCTCACTCCTCGCTCTCCGGCCCTGGCCCGCGAGCGCGGGCCTCCCGCGCGAGCGCCTCGAGCGGCGGCGGCCCGCGGGCGGCTGGCGGCGGGCCCGCGGCGCGCAGCAGCTGCTGCAGGCTCGCCTTCCGCCGCGGAGAAGGGGGGGGGGGGGCCTTTGTCCCCCCCCTCCCCATCTCGGCACCGCCGGGGGACCGACGAGGGCGGGGGATTGTGTGGGGCATGCACTGCAGGCCCCCCCCCCCCCCCCTCCCTCTCAGCGTCGCTTGACCGACGCCCGCCCCCAGCGGCGTGGCCAGGGCCTCACTGGCCCATGCGGCTCTGCCTAGAGGGTTCTTACTCTCTTTTCTTAGAAAGGGGCCGGGCAATGGAAAACGCCCCGGACGGCCCCCCCGGCATCCGCCCCGCGGTTCCCCCAGTTGCGCCCTCTTACTTGATAGCTTTGCGTATCTCATATTAGTTTTGTTTAGTACCGCTTCATCTTAGCTTAGCTTCATTAGCGAACAACTTTATCTTAGTTTCGCTTAGTTTTATAGCTTAGCTTACTCTAGCATAGCACAGCGCAGCATCGCATATCATAGCATATAGCCCAGCATAGCATAGCATAGCGCAGCATACCATAGCCTAGCATAACATAGCGCAGCCTATAGCGCATCCTAGCATCGCATAGCATAGCATAGCGCAGCATCGCATAGCATAGCATAGAAGAGAACGGCATAGCATAGCATAGCATATTATAGTTTGCTTAAAGGGGCCGGGCTGTGGAAAGCGCCCCGGGCGGTTCCCCATGCCCCTTGGGAGCGGTTCCCCCCCGCCCCCTGGGAGCTTTAGCTTTGGCTTTAGATTTAGTGTTAGCTTAGCTTTAGCTTCAGCTTTGCTTCAGCTTAGCTTTTAGCTTAGCATTACCTTAGCTGTATGCTTAGCTTTAGATTTTGCTTAGCTTTAGCTTAGCTTTACATTGGAATTAGCTTAGCTTTAGCTTAGCTCTAGCTTAGCTGTAGTTTAGCTTTAGCTTAGCTTCAGCTTTAGCTTGAGCTTAGCTTTAGCTTAGCTTTAGCTTTATCTTAGCTGCAGCTTAGCTGCAGCTTAGCTTCAGTATAGCTTTAATTTAGCTTGAGCTTAGCTTTAGCTTAGCTTTAGCTCAGCTTCAGCTTAGCTTCAGATAAGCCTTAGCTCAGCTTAGCTTAGCTTTAGCTGAGCTTCAGCTGAGCTTTAGCTGATCTTTAGCTGAGCTTTAGCAGAGCTCAGCTTAGTTTTAGTTTAACTGCAATTCAGCTTTAGCTTAATTGTAGCTTAGTTTCAGTTGTAACTCAGCTTTACCTCCGCTGTAGCTTAGCTTCAGCTTAGCTTCAGCTTAGCTTCAGCTTAGCTTTAGCTTTAGCTTTGCTTTAGCTCAGCTTTAGCTAAGCTTTAGCGTAGCTTTACTGTTACTACACATGTTGCTTTGCTAGGGGCTCCAACTCCTAGGTAGGGTCGCACTGGGATAATATAATCATGCAGGTGTAATGTAAGTATATATGCTATATGTATATATGTACATACATCTGTATACATATATATATATACACACATATGTTGTTCCCGTTGGGTTCCCAGGGGCGCATCCATTGGGGCGGTATCTGGCGGGGGCCTCGAAGGGGGTGAGGATGGGGGCGGGGGTCGGTCGCGCGATGCTGATCCTCGTCGCCCGCACACTCGACGCCGAGGTCCATTCGAATGCTGTTTTTTTCACAAGCAGCGAAAACGCGCAGCGGCCCCTCCGCCACAGTGGCTATTGTCCGAGCCACGCATTGCACCGGCAAACAGGAGTGAACGGAGAGGGAGGCGAAGTGAGACGATGAAAAAAAAGAGGATGGGGGGGCGCAGCTAATTGACGATGAGCGGGCTGAGGAACAGACGGGAACATTGGGGATCGTAGGGCTCGTGGTGTTCGTAGGGCTCAGCGGGGCTCACAGGGCTCATGCATATGTGTGCTTGAGTCTGTTTCTACGCATATCCACAGCTTATAGGGCTCATATCGGGCGAGATGGCTCATGGAGCCCTTTGGGCTGCATGGTTGGGTCATAGGGCTCGCAGGGCTCATAAGGCGCATAGGGTTCATGGGGGTTCCCAAGGCTATAGGGCTCGAAGGGCCCACGGGGCCCATGGGACGAATGGGGCTTATAAAGCTCTCGGGGATCATGGGGCCCATGAGGCTCATAGAGCTCATGTTGGATTCGTCCTGCGGGTTCGTTTTGGAAACCTGTTGGGGGGTTCTCGGGTGGAACCGTTTTGGAATTCGGGCGGTCTTGGAGCTCTTGAGTCGCTGTGCGAACCGGGGGCCTCGCGGGCCATCTCGGGCGCTGCAAAGACCAAAGGCGAATATAACAAGAACATGTGTTTCCTATGGGACTGGATTGAGTTTCGTTGCTTGGGGATTCCTTCGGGAGCAGTGGGTTCCCGAAGTCCCGGAGACCCAAAAAACCCAAGCCTATAGCTGGATCCCAGCACCTCCTTAAGGCTATTCTTGGGGGTCACTTTGATGGCCTCTTGGGTGTCTAAACGGCCTCTTGGGCCGTCTTGAAATCTTGTTGGGCCTTGCGTGGGCGATCGCCGTTCTCGGGCCGTCTTGGGCCGTCTCCAAGCCACGCGTGTCCGCCCAAGAAGCGAGTGGGGAAGAAGGCCGTGCAGCTCCCTCGCGCAGCTCGCAAGCTCACGCCACGATCAAACTGGCCTCGTCGAGATGGGTCCGCCCTCCAACCGGACCCGCAGCCTTCGGCCTCGCATGACGCTGCGTCGTCCTCCACCCCGAACGAAGAAAAAAAAAAAAAAAAAATGAAAAAAAAAAAACAAAAAAAAACAAAAAAAAAAAAAAAAAAAAAAAAAAAAAAAAAAAGAAAAAAAACAAAAAAAACAAAAAAAAAAAAAAAAAAAAAAACAAGAAAAAAATTGAAAAGGAAAAAAAAAAAAAAAAAAAAAAAAAAAAAAAACAAACAATAAAAAAAAAAAAAAAAAAAAAAAATAAAAAAAAAAAGGGCTGCAGTCTCCGGCCTCGCACATATATGTATACCGCATTGCCCTCACGCTGGGCCAGCAGTCGGGGTGGCCTTCGCCCTCGCCTTGGACTTGGCGGCCGGGTTCGCCTTTGGCTGCTTGCCCATCACTTCGCTCTGCATCTTGGCGGCCAAGGGCTTGTTGGCTGTGAGCCAGGACAACTTCTGACGGCAGTTATCCAGCAGGGCCGAGTCTGTCCGCTGGCGCGCCGAACGCTCCAACAAGCACACCACATATTGAAGACCCCAGGGTGTCAGTGCACAAAGCAATTTGGCTTTGGATTAAGTATTGGGGCATTGATTACGTGCTAGTCAGTTTGTGTTAGAACACGTGGGTTTTGATTCTTCGTGAGGTCGGGAATGGGATAGAGTGTTTGAGATTTTGTTAATATACGCATAGTCGGAAGCAGGGAGAAGGATCAATGACGACATATATTGGAGGAGGCGGAGGAATGAAGTCAATCATCGGGGGTGAGGGGGTGAGATCGAAGTGGAACGCATAGCCCCCCTACCATGAAATCGATTTCGGTTTCGTGCTCGCGCGCGCCGCGCGCGGGCGAGGCAAAGTTGCACAGGCTGGCTGGCTGAGGCGCGGCTGGACCAAATGATTCCCTTCTGGCGTCCGGCGCCGCGCGATGTCCCGCCGGGGTGTCACGATGATGACGGTGATCGTGATGTCGATGATGTCGATGTTGATGATGATGGTGGTGATGATGGTGTCCCGATGATGATGGTGATGTTAACCATGTTTGTGATGATGATGGTGATGGTGGTAATGATGATGGTGTCCCGATGGTGATGATGATGATGATGATGTTGATGATCCTGCTGTTGCTGAAGATGACGATGATGATGGTGTACCGATCTTGCTGGTGTTGTTGATGATCCTGATGTTGATCCTGATGGGGTGGTGACGAGATGATGATGATGATAAAGATGGTGAAGCTGATGATGGTGTCCCGATGATGGTGATGAGTGTCCCGATGTCGATGATGATGTGGATGTTGATGATGGTGATTGCGATGATGGTTTACCGATGATGATGATGGTGCTGATGATGAGGATGATGATGAGGTGATGATGGTTATTTTGACGATGGTGGCCCAATGATGGTGGTGATGATGCTGATGTTGATGTTGATGATGACGGTGATGGTGTCTCAATCATGATGATGATGATGGTGACGGTGACGATGATGCTGGCGTCTCGATGATGGTGATGATGCAGATGATGACTATGCGGCTGATGGCCAGTGTGCGTCGATGGTGATAATTAATATTATGTTGATGATGTTGATGGTGATGATGATGAGATGATGATGATGGTCGTGTTCTGATGATGATTGTGCCCCGTTGGTGATGATGATGATTACTTTGATGATGTTGGTGATGATGACGAGATGATGAGATGATGGTGGTAGTGTTCTGATGATGCTGATGGTGGTGTCCCTAAGATGATGATGTTGATGATGATGATGGTGCCGATGCTGGTGTCCCGATGATGATGGCGATGATGCTGGTTTTGATGCTGAGTTTGCTGATAGTGGTGATGAGGTAATGATGATGGATGGTGTCCCGATGATGATGATGCTGTTGATGGCGTTGGTGACGGTGATATTGATGATAGTGATGACGTTGATTGTGAGATCGACAGTGGGATCTATATTGGGACCGAATGTGAGATCGATTGTGAGATCGATCGCGAGATCGATTGTGCGATCGATGGTCAGATCGAATGTGAGTTCGGTCGAATGAATACATCGAGTGAGATCGATCGAGCGACTGATAGTGAGATCGATAATGAGATCGATAGCGAGACCGATCGAAAGAGACGCTGATTCCTCCCCACCCCCGAACCTCCTTATCACCCGAGGGGTGGTCGTATAGGCATGGGGATGCAGCCTGGGCGCCAGCGCGAAGCGACCTGTAGAGTGGCGTTCTTCACCTTCTGGGCGCACTGAGCGTACAGGTTCTCCATGGTATTGGAGTGGGATCTCATGCTGCTGGCCATCGTCTGCCCGTGCTCGTGGTGCACCACCGAGGCTGAGTACTCCCTGGACTTCGACGCCTGCTGGAGGAGCTGCGGCATCATCGATTTGAGGCTGTCGAGGGGGTCTTCCTCCACCGTCTGCGCAGCTGCCGGGTCCGCCGCCTCCCTCGGTTTCGCCCTCGAAACCTTCGTGCCTTCAGCCCGCCCTGCGTCCACGAGAAATTTGGTCATCTCTGCCTCGGTTAGGGGAGCAAACAGCGACATGAACATTAACGCTCGGAGATACGCGCGAACTTATCGGATCGGTGCTGGACCTTCTTCCATGAAGCGCGGAGCGCACCAATATTGCTCGTTGTCCTTATTGCTATGTTTTTTGTATTTCTTATACGTGTGTTGTTGTTGTCGTTGTTTTGTTTGTCCGTTCTTTGCGTGTTATTTTGTGTTGTTGCCGCTGTTGTCGCAGTTGGTTTGTTGTTGCCATGTTTGTTGCTATTTCCGTTTTTGTCGTTGCCGGTGTTTGTGCCAGGGCGCCCAGCGCCGATCCGAAAAGTCAGCGCGGACCTCGGAGTTTTAATGCTTATGTAGTCGTTCACTCCCCTTTCTGCGGCCCCCTGGATGCAGACCGAGAGGCCGCCCCCGAGCGCGCCCCCCTCCCCCGTGAGGTGCTGCGCCACGGCGTCGTCCACGGAGGCGGTGCCCTTCGCGGAGAAGGCCTCCACGGTGCGCTCGCGGCGGCTGTGCGCCACCTTGACCCGCGCCCTGTGCCAGCGCTCCTCCGGGTCATCCGGCAGCGCCTCGTCCGGGACCCAGGTGCACCCATTGAGCACTTTGTCTACTTTCTCAGCACAGTCGCCGTACATCGGCATGATGTCGCGCCTCTTGCGGTACTGCCACTCGCTGTCGTTCTCCGTCTCCTTCTCGATGCGCTTCTCGATGACGACCTCCGCCAGCTTGTCTAAGTCCCTGTTGCAGGACAGCCACAGCTCGAACAACGACTGCTTGTCCGACTTGATCTCTGGCGCCAGCTGCACTGGCCACTTCTTGCGGTTCTTGGCAGCGCGGCTGAACGTCGCCCACGCCGCCGGGCAGGTGACCGAGTTCAGCACCGCGCGCTCCACGCCGCCCGCGCCCGAGCCGCTCTTGACGCTGGCGTTGTCGTCGGCGTCCAGCTTCGCGATGACCACCTCGCCGCCGACAGGGGTCGCGGCCACCTCGCCGCCGACAGGGGTCGCGGGCTGCTGCGAGGCATCCTGCGCGGTCGGCTTGACGTTGCCGATCGCTGCCAAGACCTGGCGCTCGACGATGCCGGTGTCCTCGTCGACCGGGAGGCCCTGCGGAGAGGGCGACAGACATCGGAGGGCACCAACTCTACACCAACACCGACCCTGGCCCAGGATCACCCTGGGCCCAGGATCGGTGCATATGCCTTCTTGCGCAAGGCAGGAGGGCGCATGCACCGATCCTGGGCCCAGGGTGGCCCTGGGCCAGGTTCGGTGTTGGCGTATAGTTGGCGCCTTCCTAAGACGGCGGTGGCCGCAAGATGCCTCCCACCAACGATCCGAAATGGGCCGCGCGAATACGTGTAGATGCGCGGCCATGACCAAGCATCTCTTCGGAAGCCAACGGCCTATAGGTCGGAGGCTTCTTGGAACCCCAGCGGGAGGCAGCTTCCGCCATCGATGGAGGTGGAGGCGGGGAACGGCGCCAACATCAATACAAGGGGCTGCGCCCTCAGCGGCAAGATGATCATGGATTTCGGCGTTGGCGGTACTATCTCAGATCAGTACCGCCATCGCCGAGACCAGGATCTCGAGCACGCACAAGCACGCACGCGCACGCTGGAGGCACACCGCCGATATTGGCGTTGGTGCCAAGCTATGAACCGGTGCACATTTAGGCACGAGTCTGCCTCCATCTGCCTGATGGCCCACTCCAGCCCCGCGTGACCTAAGGCCTGCATCTCGCTGAAGTCGATTTGCAGGTGCTGCCTGAACTTCTGCAGGAAGGTCTTCGCATCCTTCGTCTCGGGCAGCTTGCCGTCGACGAGGGTGCCCGGGATGGCCTCGGCGACCTTCTTGAAAATCTGGAACATGCCCCGCGCGTCCAGCGGCTTGCCGACAGGCGCCGTCTTGCCACAAGGTGCCGCGGGATGCGGCTCCTTCGTGCAGCTGCTCGAGGCCACGGACTGGCCCTTGCCAACTCTCTCGGGCGCGGTGTACTTCGTTTTTTTGGCCGGCTGATCTGCGAACAAGGAGTCCAGCGCAGCGGGGGCGGCTGGGGATGCAGGCGTGGCCACGACGCTCTTCTTCTTCTTGCCGAACTTCTTCAGCGCCTTGCGCTGCGCGGGCATGCTGGCCACGCGCGAGCTCGTCGGGGCAGCGCCGGAGGCCGAGGGCGATCACGAGGCAACAAAGCCAAAACAGGCTGTGGCAAGCCAGGGAGGATGAGGCACGCCGAAGAGGGCGTGCGTGCGTGTGTGCGTGTTCGTGTATGTGTGTGTGTGTGTGCGCGTGCGTGCGCGTTGGTGCGCGTGCGTGCGTGTGCGTGTACGCGCAAGGCTGATGCGTGTGATGTGTGTGTGTGTGTGTGTGCGTGTGCGTGTGCGTCCGTGGGCGTGCGAGTGCGGTGATCAGTATGATGATGATTATGTTGCTGCTGATGGTGATGATCAAGATGCTGATCAAGATGGTGATGATGATGCTGCTGATGATGATGGTGATGACGGCGGTGATGATGACGATGGTGATGATGATGGTGTTGATGGTGATGATGATGTGTTGGGGGGCCTCGCCCCCCCCCCCCCTGTGCATGTGACGCCCCGTGCCGCGCTCGGAAACTGCTGCTGATGATGGTGATGATGTTGTTGTGTCGAAACCGATGATGTCGCTGATTGGCAATGATGCGACCCGTCGACCGCGCACGGCTGAATAGGCAACGATGTAAGGGTCGCCGACTACGCAGGAGCATGGGGGGCAATCTTGGGACGTAGTTGTGTCAAAACATGCAGGCGGGGGAATGCGGAGGACAGACATTTTCCATCAGCCCATTACAAATCATCAGCGCTACAGTCGATACCGATGATGAGGTTGATCGGCAAGGATGCGACCCGTCGGCCACACACGGCCGAAAAGGCAATGACGCAAGGGTACACGACTACGCAGGAGCATGGTGGACAATTGTCTCTTTCTTCCCTACGTAGGCTCTGCCTGAAGGGCTCGTACCGGTCAGTGCTTCCCGCCCTGGGCGGTTCCCCTGGCCCCATGGGAGCGGTTCCCCCAATTGCGCCCCCTAAGTTTTAGCTTTTAGCATTAGCTTTAACATTAGTTTTAGCTTTAGCTTTAGCTTCAGCTTAGATTTAGCTTAGCTTGAGCTTAGCGTTGCCTTAACGTTACATCTAGCTTTAGCTTAGCGTTGGCTTAGCGTTGGCTTAGCTTTAGCTTAGCTTTAGCTTAGCGCTAGCTTAGCTTCAGCTTAGCTTTATGCGAGCATCAGCTTAGCTTTAGCTTCGATGCAGCTTAGTTGTAGCTAAGTTTTAGCTTAGCTGCTGCTTAGCTTTAGCATAGCTTTAACTTAAATTTAGCTTAGCTGTAGCTTAATAGCTTTAGCTTTAGCTGTAGCGTACCTTTAGCTACAGCTGCAGCTTAGCTGTAGCCTAGCTGTAGCGTTGGCTTAGCTGTAGCATAGCTTTAGCTTAGCTATAGCCTATGGTGTAGCAGAGCTTTAGCTGAGTTTGCGTTTAGCTTTAGCCTAGTTGTTGCTTAGCGCTAGCTTAGTTTAGCGTTACTACGGATGATGCTTTCCTAGGGTCTCCAACTCCCAGGTCGGGTAGCACTGTGATAATTGGTTGCCCCCACTCTATGCGACGCCGAATGTTGTCGCTCGACCTCGCCGCCTGGGCAAGTTCAGGCAACAACATTCGGCATCGCAAAGAACGGAAGGCAAAAACAGATCGTGTCCGACTGCGCGGAGGAAAGGCGGATGCTATCAGCCCATTACAGGATCACGGGATCACAGGCGATACAATCGAAACCGATGATGAGGTTGATCGGCAAAGATGCGACCCGTCGGCCGCAGGCGGCCGAAGAGGCAATGATGCAAGGGTACCCGATTGACGACGCGCATCTTCATCATCGATTTCAATTGCAGGCGAGATAACCGCGAAGAAAGATGGAGACAAAATGAGCAGGGCTGGGCCTGAACGGTGTTTGGGCGATTTCGCGGGTCGTTTGCGTTTCGACATCGTCTTGCAATATATTGCGGGTTGAAACGAAACGAGGGCAAACGAACACAAAACGAACACGACAAACACAGTTCAGGTTCAGCCCTGATGACGAGCGGGGGGAGGGGGCAGGCGGTCGCAGAGGGGCCGAGCAGCCTGCTCGCTCGACGCTCTTCAGCACGAGCCGTGGCATCCCGAGGCGCTGGCGGCCTCTGCGCCCAGGGCAGCGCAGCTCAGGCCCAGGCGCTGGCGGGCCCCCCGCGCCCAGGCGGCTCCGCCTCCGCGCCGGCGGGCCGGCGACGAGGGCGAGGGCGGGGGCGGCGCCCGAAGGGCGGGGGGGGGCGGGAGGGGGGGGGGAGGGCGAGCGGGGAAGGATCGAGTATAGGACAAGGGGTACGAGAACTATAGGAGGACGAAAGGAGATGAGTCAATCGGTCCCCTCAGTGCTCGGTCGGGGGCGGTGAGTCGGTCAGGTCCTTCAATTCTCGGTCGGGGGTGGTGAGTCGCTCGGGAACCTCAATTTTCGGCGGGGGTAAATCGATTTGGGCACATCAATTGTCGGTCGGAGATGAGTCGTTAGTTCTGCCCTCAGCTTTCTGTCGGGGGTGAGTCGTTTGGGCACCGATATGTTCTGAAGTTGTATTCAGATTGATTGTGAGATATTCTGCTGTTAAAATTGTTGTACAAAACGGCGCGAATTGTAGAACATGATATGTATGTGTTTTTGTAGGTGGTTTGCCGGTGGTTTAGTTTGCAGCTATATGTGGGTTGTATTAATTTGCAGTGCTATATTTGCAAAAGCAGTAGATCTACAATTCACGCTTGTTTTAAACAGCATAGAAAATCTCACAGTGTAATCCAAATGCAACTTCAGAAGATATCACAACCTACAAAACAAATATATTCCTCCAATTACCGGCATTCTACTCCAAATCACGCCATTCTGACGGCTATTTTACGCCATTGATGTTCGAGATGATGTTGAAAATAATGAAACGGCAAATGAAATGAATCGGCTACGATCGTGCGAGCTGGGAAGAGCGCGGTGCAGCGGTCTTAAGCGGAAGAGGGGTGGAAGGGGATGAAGGAAGAGCTGGGTGGCAACTTACAGGGTGCTTGCATGAGTGGGCCCGAGCGGGCACCAGTGGGCGCCAGCGGGCTCCTGGCGGCTCCTATAGCCCCGAGTGGGTCCCAAGAGGGCAATGCCCAAGAGCGAAACGAGTGGATCTCTCGACCACCACCATAACTATTGCACCGTAGTTATCTTGCACGAGGTGGGCTGATGTTTTTCGACGGGGATAAGGGAAGGGCTGGGTGGCCACCGGGGTGCCTGAGCGGGCCCGAGCTGGCCCTAGTGGGCACCAGCGGGCCCCTGGCGGCTCCAGGTGGCCCGAGTGGGCACCAAGAGCGAAACGAGTGGATCTCTCGCCCACCCCTATAACTGTTGCACCAGTTCTCTGGCACGAGGTGGGCTGATGTTTTTTTCGACGCGGACGTCCCCCATGCAAGCCGCTATAGCGGCGATCTCGGCGCTGGGCCCGGCGGCATATGAGAGCAGGGAATGGAATGGAGAGGGGAGTGTGATTGCAGGAAGCTGTATTCAGAGAGGCAGGCCATGCGTGCACTCGAGAAGCCTGGTTGCTCAGAGTGATAATGTGTCAACGTGGTCGTGTGACCAGATATCATCATTATCATGATCGTTCACATTGTCAGCATTCTGTCATTATCGTTACCAGTATCACCGTTACCGTTGCCATCCGTAATGATATAATCATGGTCATCATCAAAACCAGTATCATCAGTATCATCATCATTATCATGGTGACCGTTAGCATCAGCACTATAGTTACGAGCGTGCACGTACGCATCAGTATTATATCATGAGAACCATTATCATGTGAGTGTACACGCCATCATCGCTACGCGCGTGCACATACACATGGCCACGCGTGCAAAGATATACCACGTGAACTACTTAACCACGAGTCTCTGATCTGAGCAACCACGACATCTAGCATGACACTAAGAAGCGAAACACCGAGGTTAAATCAGCATCCCCCCAAGTGTCTCCGCCGGCAAAGTCAGCAGGGCCGATCGCGACCTGCCCGCCGCGCGCTGACATGGAGGCAGACCACTGCATGAGTGATTCTTTGCGGGCGCAAAACAGACGCTGGACGTTCTCACCAAAAAGCTCGGGGTAGGCCTGGCTTCGCTTCAGGTCCTTGCCTCCCATCCACTTCTTCTCGCCAGCCTTAGTCGCAAAATCAACGTATGTCTGGCGAGACAGGTCAGGCTCGAATGCTTGGGCGTACCGATTGATTTCGCGGAACCAAGCGAAAGGCGAATAGAACCGCAGCGCCCGCAATACTGGCCACTGAGGCTTACAAGTGCATTCGCCAGGAAACCCAACGCCAACCCCAACGCCAAACCCAACGCCACTGACACCATATGTTTACATTCCACACACATATGTATATATGTATAAATGCATATCGTCTATATATATACATATGTATACGAGCCAATGGGGGGCTCAGGCCCATCGAAGCGGGACGAGGTGCAATTTGAAACGGCATCGAACGCCAGCGACGGCTCGGCCAGACAAGGGTGGGTAAAATATGGATGCACAGAGTTATGTATATTATGTATATGTGTATACGCACATATATATGTATATATACATATATATATATATATATATATATATCCTACGCCAGCTAACATCGTACGCCGACTGCCGCCCCTCGTTCCCCCCGCGCAATTTCGAGTGTACATACATATATATATATACATCATGCCTATACATATGCATATGTGCATATTTATATATATATATATATAGATATATACACGTGCATATATATATATGTATGTTTATATATATATACAAATATTTACCACCTCGCATTCGTTTTTGACTTAGCCGGGGGCGCGGGCGCGGCGGCAGCCATTCGCGATCCAAGTGTCTTTCTTGGTCGGACTGCCGTGCTCTCCCATGCACAGAGAGTGTCGCCACACATTCAGATGAGCATTAACGTGCCGAAGACGTGGGTGCCATTGCATGAGCGACCCCTTCGGCTGCTCGAGAAACCACGGGCAGCCCAACGCACTTAGGACCCACAGCAAAAGTG